CTTGACCCCATGTTTTGCCCTACTCTTCTACCGATTAGGCTCCCAGTGAAGTGACCTTATGTTGTTTCAACCTCATAACCATCAAAATGGTAATGATCTTATTTGATGGATGGGAAAGCAGACGCTCAAAAATCTAGTAGTTGGCCAAGCTTCACACAGCCAAGAAGACCCGATTAGAACTCTGGCCTATCTAATTCAAGTCCTGTTCTCAGTACGTTGCAACACAGGGCATGGGGGATTTTCATGTCCAGCGCCCTGAAAATTAACTAGACCACACATGACTTGGAAAGGCCTCAGCATCTAGAACAGAGGTCATGAAGGACAGCGCCATGGTAAGGAGATTAATGTAGCTGGCCAAAAGTAGTACTTTTACAAAAAGTAAAGGTTTTATTAAATAAGTTTGAACTTTGCATGAGAAAATAGCGAGGTTATGGACATCTCAATGAAAGGCAGGCAATGCCTGTAAACCCTTTCCCATTTGCTGAAGGAGGGCAGCATCCATTCCTGTTGACACACCGCTCTACGGTTTCTGAAATTATGGAGGGGGAGACATTTAGAGGATGCAGGGAAGGATTTTCTTTGTGTTTTGACTCTAGTGTCTTTTTCTTCCACCCAGGGAAGTTCTTCGTTGGGTCCTCTTCAGCATGCAGACCACAGGCCATGTGCTGCTTGGCACCTCCTGTTATATGCAGCAGCTCCTGGATGCCACAGAGGGAGGGCAGCCTGCTGAGAGCAAGGCCCGATCACTCATCCCGACCTGTCTAAAGATACTGCAGTGAAGGCTCCAGTCCTTGGAGGCACTCCCCAGGCAAAGACTAGACTGTGGCCCCCATGCTAAGCTAGTAGCACCACAAACTGGCAGCTAGACACGTCTTACCTCGCCACACCTTCCTCACCCTCACCTCACATGAAGGAAGAAGCCTTCCCAGGGGGAAAGGCCAGAAACCTGAGGGTTCTTAGCCTGGCCCAGCTCCTTCCTGTCCAGGGTAGCTTAGCTGACCAAGAAAGGTCACCAGCAGGCTAGGCACGAAGTCTGCCCCTCAGCTACTGTCTTCATATGCTCCCCACCTCCTGGCCTCCCAGCCCTAATACTCCTTTGTGAACCACCAAGCCCACTAGTGTATGATATTAGAGAGCTCACATTACATTATTTATGCTGACACATCTTTGCTTGTGTTCTTTGGGGGTGAGGGTGGGGCTCTGTCTGGAAGGTTGGAAAGGTGTAAGGGAAGAGAGGAATCTGTTGTCAAACCATTTTTCAAAATGTGGGGTTATAGGAAACAGGACTATTTCTACCAACAAAAAAAATATTTGATTCTGGAGCTAATGTCTGCTCAATCAGAGACTTGAGCAGACCATGTAATCAATACAATAAAGGACAATTAAATTTGCCTACCAGAAGGACTTTGAATGGCAGGGTGGGACTAAGGCACTCTTCTAATTTCTCAGTGTTACATTTTATTACAACCTTTTAAGTGTTTAGGTGGGAAAGGACTCGCCAGGCCATAACACAACCCTCCGTCAATGCTCTCCCTAGCTTGCCAGAAGCTTATCTTTCATGTTCAGCACTATCAACTTCAGGATTTCAAAATGAGCTGTTACTTAGCCACAAAGAATATTAGTTTCTCATCAGTGAGAGCTGACATTTTTCGATCTAGAGCAACTCAAACAAGATAAGCATGAAAGGCCAAGTTTGTAAGTGACTGTGCTTTAGTGAGTGACTCTCAGATTCAAAAACATGTCATTTCTGCCCCTGAATAGAAAGCCTCTTTGGGTTTTAGATACAAAGTCCTGTGTTACCAAAACTAGTCTGGAAAGTTATTGCTGGTGGCAGCTGATCCAAGCCTATGGCCATGTGTGGGAGGAGCTGCAGAGCTAGCAAAAACATACTTTCTATTCTGGGCTTTCTCCTGCTCTTGCATTTAAGGCCAGAGGCCTGGCTCAGTGCTATCCTGGCTCCATGGGGTAGCCCTTCCCCATGGAGGCACCATGTTTACATCAGCATAGAAGCTCCTCCTGGTCAACACTCGCAGAGGCTGCAGCCTACCTGCCCCCCCCTTTTTTAACATTTATGTATTTTTTTTAAGTAAATGCTACACCCAATGCCCAATGTGGGGCTTGAGCTCACAACCCTAAGATCAAGAGTCGTATACTCTACAAATTGAGCCAGCCAGGAGCCCTTATTTTTTTTTTAAGTTTCTTTTAAATTTTTTTAAAGGATTTTATTTATTTATTTATTTATCTATCTATCTATCTATCAGAGAGAGAATGTACAAGTAGGAAGAGTGGCAGGCAGAGGGAGAAGCAGGCCCCCTGCTGAGCAGGGAGCCCAATTTGGGGCTTGATACCAGGACGCTGGGATCATGACCTGAGCAGAAGACAGATGCTTAACTGACTGAGCCACCCAGACGCCCCTTTTTAAATTTTTTTAAGTAAGCCATCTGCCTCTCTTGTGAAGTTAGTCACAAGTTAGTCACTCACAAGCTGAGTTGGGCTGGGGGTCCAGAAGTTTGGAATTTGTCCAAACGTCCCTCTTCATAAGATTCAGAGTTTCACAAGTGAGTCTTAAGTGACTGACCAGGGTCTCTTGGCATCGAGCCCTCTCAGCCTACGGAAAATTAGGTTCTTTTCTTCCAGGAACTTGGGAGACTGACTAGCTGTCAGCAGTGAACAGGATAGGGCAGACTTTGATGAGGCTGGGATATGTGAAAAGAACATTCCAGAGAGCATAGGACCTCAGGAGAGCCAGAAGCCCGTCCAAGTGGGAGAAAGGCCCTCCTGTGGCCAAGTGCCATAGTGGAGGAGAGGTCTGGTGCAGTTAAGGCACACTGTGTTCCAGCCTCTGGGCCTTAGTCTTTCCACTTTTGCTCAAGCTGGTACTTGCGAAAGCACAGGAGGCCTTTCAGAAGAGGGTTTCTAAAACGCCGTGGGGCCTTATGACAAAGCACAGTACTGCCTGAGCCCAAAACAGGATAAAAACCATTTGTATTCTTGCCAAATATCTTGCCAGCTCTATTTGTGTACATCTATTAAAAAATTGATTGTTTAAATCTTTGAATTAAAAAAATAAGTTTCTTGAGGTATAATTTACATACAGTAACATTTTCCCTTTTAATGCATAGACATTTAATTTGGGCAATGTTTTGTTTTGTTTAGTTTTTGGTAATTTTTAAAAAGATTTTATTTATTTAGAGAGAGGGAGAGAGAGCATGCACACACACGTGCACACACACACACATACACACACTTGAGGGGAGAAGCAGAGAGACAGGGAGAGAGAATCTCAAGTAGACTGCACTGAGCATAAGCCTGAATTGGGGCTTGATCCCACGACCCCAAGATTATGACCTGAGCCGAAATCAAGAATCAGATGCCCAATCGACTGAGTCACACAGGCGCCCCAGTTTTGGCAAATCTATAAAGTTATGTAACCACCATTTCTAGCATGCTGAAAAATTCCCTTATGCCCTTTCTAATCCCCATCCCCCAGCCATTCCAAGCTCCTGGCAACCCCTGACTCTTTTCTACCAATATAGTTTGCTTTTTCTAAAATGTCATGTAAGTGGAATCATATAGTCTTTCTTAAAAAAGTATTTCTACTTATTTTTATTTTAAAAATTTTGTTATTTAAAACATTTGATGAATCAGTCTTCCATATTTGGCTTCGATTTTTAAACCAGGTTTGCATGTGTGCATGTAGATGAAATATATCAATGAGATAAAAAAAAAACACAATTCCAAAGGGTAAAAATCATTATTCATTTTCTCACTTCTGATCCCTTCTCCTGAAGCGAACATCATCTCATTTTTGTGTGTCTGTTCAGAAATGCAGACATAAAATGTAATAAATATATGTAAATCACATACACACACATATGCATCTTCTAGTCACACTGTCCTTTTCTTTAATATATATTTGGAGACTGTTTCATATCAGCACCTACAGATACACACATTCCTTAATTAATGGCTGTGTGGTATGGATATGCTACAATTCACTTAGCCAGTCCTTTGTTGATGAATTTAGGTTAATTTATTCTTTTCCTAATGCAAACAGTGAATTGAAAGTTACAGTGCTCTTAGTAAATAAATAAAATAATATACAGGTTGCATGTAACTTTTGTATAGTTGTAATTATAGGATAGAACCCATTTTGTTCCTCGCTTTTTTTTTTTTTTTTTTTTTTACATAACATCTCATTTCTCCTGTTGTTCCCTGCCTCTGCCTCCCCTCCTCCCAATACCTTTTCCTCCTGGTGAATTCTATTAGTTGTTCACAACCCTTCCATCACAACGCATGCTGGGACTAGCTCCTCTCCCTTCACCCTCTCAGCATCTGCATAGGGTTTAGCAAGGTGGGTGGTGATGCTGTGATCTGTGTGCACTCGGTGATCTTGTGGGCAGGGCCTCAGTCTTGTTGATTTGTGTGTTTCCAGCTCAAAGATGCCAGGGTCTGGCATAGAGTTAGCATTTAAAAAATGTTGAATTGGTGACGTATTAGATTTATTTCCCCTATAGAGCTAATCTAGGACAGTATGTTTCCAGTTTTGAGATTTGTTTTGGTTTTGTTTTGATAAATAATGTTGTAGTAAATCTCATTCTCCCTCTGGCCTTCTTCTCCTTTTGGATTGATTATGCACCTTTTTTTGTTTGTTTGTTTTGTTTTTCCTTCTTCTCAATTTGCCTTACAAAATTGGGCACAACGGTGGTTTTTTTTGAAGTCAGAGGCTCCTACGAATTGGAATGGTAATCAGAGTACCTTAACCTTTCGTTCCTGTTTTGTCTTAAGTGACGTCCTCTGATCCCGAGTAAATTCCTTCTCAGCTCCGTGCCTCAATTTCCCCAAAAACACAGACGTGAAGTAAATAAAGCCTTTTCTTCCTGGGCGAATGCGAAGCTCCGCCTTCTCAGGGCTCTGAGCCCGCCTGCTCGCTATTCCGATCGACAGGCAATCTGACCAATCAGCGCGCTGTAGCCGAGCGGGCCGGCCCTTCTGGACACATGCGCACTGTCTCTGTTCGGGAGATGGGTGGCTGTCGGGGTTTGGGCCGCATCTGGGGTGGCTGGCGGCGGGGGCCGGGGGTCCACGCAGCGCCCGAGGCCGCAGGCTTTGGCACCGAAGCCGGGTGATTACGCCTCCCTCCGCCCCTTCGTGTGGTTGGGACGGTGGGGCCGGGTAAGGTGTGTGTGGGATCTGGAGTTAGGTAGGCGTGGGTGCTAATCCCGCCGCTACTCTGTGACCCTGAACTTACTCACTTGGTTTCTCTGAGCTTCAGTTCCCTCCTCTGCAACATGGGGCCAGTTGTTCCTGAATTTTCGGGAAGCTCATCCAGGCATTTTGAGGCATTTGTAGGAGGTGGCAGGATTTAAGCTGTGTGGCGATAAGAATGGATACACATCAGGAAACAGTGATCTTGTTGCTTACCCCACCTTTTCCAGACATCAGCTGCGACGTCGAGGATCCAGCAAACGGTCGGGGCCTCTGGGGGACCAGGCATTCCCGGGGCTGCTGCAGCTAGAGAACCTCAGTCGGGAGGGGCTGGTTGATGTGCTGAGGGCAGCCGTAGTGGACCGGAAAGGTGAGGGGTGAGAGGGGCAGCTGCACAGACATCTGGGAGGGGAGCCTTCTGGGGGCTTACTGGGCTCCCAACCAAAGCCTTTGGGGGTCATATCCTGGCTCTGCCTCCCACTAGTGGTATGACCTGGAATCAGCCACGTAATCTGTCTGAGCCTTAGCATCATGGCCATAGGGGTGTGAGGGTGCAAATAAAGAGAGCCTTGAACATAGTAGGCACTTGGTAATAATTGCTATAATAAATTATTTATGGACAAAACACAGGCTTTGAAGTCAGATCTAGGCTCTGTAATCAGCTTACTGTGTGACTTTAGGAAAATAATTCCTGTGAGCCCGAGTCTCCGAGAAAAAGTTAATTTTCTCAGCTATTTATTGAGCATAGGTTCTATTCCAGACACTGTTCCAGTTATACAGTGCTGAACAAGGTAAATACGGTTCCTGCTCTCAGGGAGCCAATGTTTTAGTGGGAGAAATGGATTAACCGGAAATAAATGAACAAGGTACCTACTACTGATCAGTGCTATGAATAAGACAGGGTGTTATAACTGTGTGGCAGACATTAGATTGGAGATTCAGGCCTCTCTGGTAGTGACATTTGAGCCAAGAGGATATGAAAAAGCCAGAAAGGGTGAAAATCTGGGACTAGGAAAGTCAAGCAAGTATAAAAGCCTAAAGTGGCAACAAGCTTAGCATATGCCAAGGACTGAAAGTTCAGTTTAGGGTGTGGTTGATAATTCATGTCTGAGAGTTGTAGTGGGGCCAGTTGAATTGAGAAAGTATAAACTCTTAACTGCTGCTTTTGTGTCACTGATGCTCATATACTGTATGTTCTAGGACCTCTCGTGACGCTGAATAAGCCACCGGGTCTACCAGTGACAGGTATGGGCACGGGGCGGGAATGCAGTGGAACAGGGTTTGATGGCTCTGAGGGACAGGATAATGAAAAGAAGGAGATGGTGGCATGAAGCCAAAGGCCTCTGAGAGCAACTTGTACTTTTCCTTCTTTTTTTTACCCCAGGAAAACCAGGGGAGTTGACGTTGTTCTCGGTGCTGCCAGAGCTGAGCCAATCCCTGGGGCTTAGAGATCGGGAGCTCCAGGTTGTCCAAGCATCTGGGAAGTAAGTGGTGGTGGTGGGGGGGGGGTGATGGGAAGGTAGCAGGACAGGCCTCCATCTTGGGTGAGGGAACAGTTGCTTGGGAATAGGCTGAGACATTTTCCACAGGCTGGTTTGGGATAGAGGAAGGATGCAAGGAAGAGGAGGGAATGGACAGATCTGGGTTCAAATCCATGTGCACAAACTGTGATCTTAGGAAAAGCATGAACCTCACTGAGCCTCAGTTCCCTTAATCATAAAATAGAGCAAATCCTATGCTCAGTGTGCAGTCACTTCTCCAATCCCATAATCACGGCAGGCATTGCTAGTTGATCCATGATATTCTTTTCTCTAACTGCTGTCAATTAGAGCTAGTACTGGAGACGAAATATTTCTGAAATTCCACAAACTCATAGGCTTGTGGGGAGTTTAAATATTTATGAGCCAATATACACAAAATTCCTACTCTAGTGCCCGGTGCGTTGTAGGCATTCAGCAGTGGGTGGTAATTGTTACGACATTTGGCTTTAGCTCCTTGGGGACCAGGGGAGAATGAGAAACTCTTTAAATTATGTAGTCTTATTGTCAAACATGAGCAAGTCTTACTTGTTTCTCAGGAGGAAGTCTGGGTTATAGTTCTGGTGACTGTTTTGCCTTAAGCAGGTCTGTGTTCCTTCCGAGGGGTCTCCCTTTTTTGTGGGTGAGCCCAAGGGACTTTAACTTTTGTGATTTATCCTCTTTCCCCAGAGAGACCTCTGGGCTTGTACTCCTCTCCAGCTGCCCTCAGACAGCAAGCCGCCTCCAGAAGTTCTTCATCCACTCACGGAGAGCCCAGAGACCCACAGCCACCTACTGGTGAGAGGTGTCCGGAGGCTCCCGGGGCAGCAGGGGGGTCCTGGCAAGCCGTCCGGTGACCTCCTCCTGCCTCTTCCTCAGTGCTGTCACCGATGGGGTCCCAGCTTCTCCTGAGGGGCATATCCAAGTCGCTCTGAAGCTGGAACACACTGATGGCGTTGATCTAGTGAGTCATGGTCTGGGAGGGAACAGGAGGGGACTCTCCAAATATATTATCCCTACAGAGGAGTCAAGGGTATAGACTTGGGGTGGGTGGCTCTCCTGTCCCCTAAAATAGGCAAGTGACCACTGCTTATACTCTGGCTCTATCTTTTGGGAGGAGCAGAGAGGGTCTGGGCGTAGCTCCAGATGTGTGTGAAGCTCGTTCATTCTTGGGCTGACGATACAGGTGATTCCAGTGAAGTCCCCATCCCGAAAGGACTTCCAAGAAGGTGTCAAGAGGACCCTCAGCCACTTCCATGTGGTGGCCAGGGGCGCTGGCTGTGCCCTGGTCCAGCTGCAGCCACTGACAGGTGGGTCTGGAACCCTAGCCAGCCTTCATGACTATTTGGCTGGGGGAGGCAAAGGGGGTGGGAGGAAGGTGGTGGTGTTAATGGCAGCTTGGGGAGCATTTGATGGATTCCAAGGGTAGAGCCCAGCTAGAGGAGACAGCGCTTCTGCTGCCAGTCTGATCATCATTCCTTTGTAGCCCATCTTTTTTTTTTTCTTAGTTGTTGGTCTCGGGATCTTCTCTTTGTCTTTGGTGTTCTGTGGTTTCACTGTGCTGAATCTAGGTGTGTGGGCTTAGTTTTATTTATCTTGCTTAGAATTCACTTTGCTTCCTGAATCTGAAAGTTAATATGCTTCATCAATCCAAGAAAGTTCTTTCTCTTCAAATGTTGCACCTCTTGCATTTTCTCTATTCTCTTCCTTTTGAATGCCTCTGAGATGTGTCTGACCTTCTCATTCTACTTACTAAGTCTCTTTTCTTTCATATTTTTCATTTCTTCATCCCTGCTGCATTCTTGGTAATTTCTTTAGGTCTATTTTCCAGGTGAATAATTTTCTGTTCAGTTGGATCTAATCTGCCAGTTCAGCCCATCCGTTGACTGTATTTTTCTTCACTTCTAGAAGTTCTGTTTGGTTGTTTTACAAATAAAAATGGCCTTATATAGCATTTTTTTCTCATATTATTTGTTCAGGTTAAATATACTGATACTGTATTTCTATATTTTCATTGTCTGAAATTCTGGAGGGCCTAATCCTATGATGTTTCATACTGACTCTCACACTCGGTAGATTGTTTCATTGCTCTGTGATTCAGGATTGTGAATTCAAGTTCAGCTGGGCCTTTATCTGTGGAAATCTTGTGTTGCTTCACTGTGGGTAGGGCCCTCGGGAGAGGTTTTGCCTTTGCTTCTGCCAAATGCCCCAGAGCTGTCACTGCTTCAGGATCTCCTTAAATATTAATGTCTCGGTTGGAAGTTCACAGATCATTCTGGTATTAATTTGGGTCCCAGGCCTGTGTGAGATCAGGCTCATGGTTGTGAATTCTTAGAGGAAAACTTCTTCATTCCCCTCGCCCACACCTAAGGTGATCATCTGCCTTCATCGGTGGCTGGCTTTTTCTCCTGGTTCACCCCTTCACTGAAGATACAGCCCTTCTAGGATTTCATCTGGGTACCAAGGTCTCAGCCCTGGCCCCTAGGTAGCTATTTAAACCAAAGACCCCTGGATACCAAGATTTGCAGCATCCCTAGAATAGATGAAACATTGGCTCTTGTGTGCTGTGGATTTGTTTTCCATTGGTTTTGGTCTTGGGGACTTTACTTTCCTATGCCTGGCTGCATATTTGAAAGAATGATTATTATATTTTTCTGGTGTTTCCAGGTGGTTTATAGAGAGTTTTTAGATTATCCAGTCCACCATATTGCCAGACATGGAAACAGAGTACAGCTCCTGGGTTTGAATCCCAGCCTGTGGTCCTGGGCAAGTCACTTCTTTTTGAGCTTCAGTTTTCTGTGTGTAAGATGGGAATGATGATAGGACCCGCCTTATTGGGCTGCCATGAGGATTAAATAAATTTACATATGTGAAGCACTTTGTACCATGCCTAGCACATAGCCCCCCATTCCTGTCTTTGTCATGTTTCCCAAAAACCTGTTCAAATTGGGGTAAGCCAAAAACAGGGAATGTATTGGCTCCCATACCTTAAAGTTTAGGTGTCGTTAGATCTAGAGGCTCAGAGGATGTCCTCTGGAACTCTTTCTCCATTTCTTTTTGCCTCCTGCATGTTGGCTTTTCCCTCCCACAGGCTCTCCTCTGGGCAAGGTAGAGATGGCCAGGGGCTCTGGCAGCTCTAGGCCTGCACCCCACCAGTTTAATACCCTAGGAGGAAAAAGCATTCCTTATTTCCAGTAGCTTCAGCAGTAAATTCGGGGTTGTATCTCTTTATGAGCGAATCCCACAGGCCAGGTGGTTTGATGGTTATGACTGTGCTGATCTGGTCTTGCACTTGGAGGCAGGGGCAGGAGCATTGACCTCACTGAAACCACATGCCTGGGGAATGGGAGTGCGGTGGTGGTGTTTCCCCAGAGGAAAGGAGGAGGGATAATCCTGGGTGGGACAGAAAGAGCAGCTGCCCACCATCTGTCCTGTCTCCTGTCCCCCAGTGTTCCCCAGTCAGCTGCAGGTACACATGGTACTACAGCTGTGCCCTGTGCTTGGGGATCACACATACTCTGCCTGTGTGGGCACTGTCCTGGGCCAGCGCTTTCTACTGCCAGCCAAGAGCACCAAGCCCCAAAGACAGGTACCCACACCCACCTATCTGCTGTTTCTGGGGGTGGGCTGTGAAGTGAGGATGGGCAGCGCCTTTAGACATTAGCTGTGAAGTCTGGGACTTCCTTCCAAGGCTATCTATAGTCCTGTCTTACCGTGTGGCCTTGAGCAAGTAACATCCCCTCTCTTAGGCCTCCTTCTGCCCATCTGTTCAATAAGGGACTTGAACTGGCTGATTTCTCAAGGCCCTTTTAAATCTGTTCTTTAAGTCCCTGGTATAAGGGCTAAACGTAATTGTGTGTGTGTGTTAGGGTAACTCTGTCTGCTCTAACAGAGTAACCCCAAAGTCCCAGAGTTTAACACAATAGTTTCCCTCCACATTAAATCTAATGAATGGGGGTGGGGCAGGGGTGGGCTTGACTCCAAGCACTCAGGGACCCAGGCCACTGCTATCCAGCCAGCAGATGAAGGGAAACAGTGCAGTGCAGGTCCGTGTGGGAGGTTTTCACAAGCCAGGTCTGGAAGTGGCATATACTTGCCCTCCTGTTCCATTGGCTAAAACTAGCACATGGCCTCACCAAACTGCAAGAGGGACTCAGAAATATTTAGCTGTGTGCCAGGTGGGAACTGATTTGGTGAACCCTAGCTAGTCTCTGCCATAGTGTGACAGTATGTGTGTGTGTGTGTGTGTGTGTAGAGAAGAAATGAGTAAGAAACTATGGACATGGAGGGAGGGAGGAAGTACATGCCTTACTTCCATTTTGGTTAGAGCGAGCTGGTTGGAACTCAACCTGGCTGAATGCTGACATGCCTCTCCCACCTCAGGTTCTGGATGAAGCCCTCCTCAGACGCCTCCACCTGACCCCCGCCCAGGCTGCCCAGCTGCCCTTGCATCTCCACCTGCATTGTCTCCATCTTCCAGGCATGAGGCTCAGGGAGGCCCCCATGAAGCTTCTGGCACCCCTGCCCCCTTATTTCTCCAGGACCCTACAGTGCCTGGGACTCCACCAACAGTAGTCCTCTTTCTGTTCCTTCTGTTTCCACTGGAAAGCAGTGGGGAAGGGGGAGGGGGCGTAAGGATGAACCTACGATATCAGGCTTGAGGAGAATGAGGTCAGTGCGCAACATGCACTAAGGCCATGCTTTAAGATCCTGGGCTCTGCATTCGGACAAACCTAAGATCAAAGCCTGGCTAGGCCATTTGCTGTACGGTATCAGGCAAATGACTTCATCTCTCTGGACGTGAGTTAATAAAAGTACCTACCTCATAGTGTGGTTTTGAGGATTTGCTGAGAAAGTAAACATTTATCATGGAGCATGCTTTCTGCTGAGTTCAATATATGGTCTTTTTATTTGGCTGTTTCTATCCCAGTTCTAGCTGAGAGGAAATGTCTGATTTTTTTGTTGTCGTTCAATTGTGGTAAAATACACATAGCAAAATTTACCATCTTAACCATTTTTAAGTGAACAGTTCAGTGGCATTAAGTACATTCACATTGTGGTGCAACCGTCACATCCCATCATCTTGAAGAACTGAAACTCTGCCCCATTAAACACTGATGCCCCATCCGCTCCTCTCAGCCCCCAGTAGCCGCCATTCTCCTCTGTCACTACAAATCTGACTACTCTGGGGACTTCATATAAATGAAGATCTTAGATCTTTTACTTGAAAAAATTGTGAAATATATCAAACATACAAAGAGTACATAAATAGCTCTGTGATTTAAAGAATAATTACAAGGTGACACTCATAACCACCACTCGGCACGAAATAGAAACATGCCTCTCCTTCCTTGTTAGGGTAGCAGTTCTCAACGCTGGCCCCATATTAGAACCCCCTCAGCGAAGCTTTAAAAAAGCCCCTTCCTACCCTGGGATGCTGCACCCCAAAGATACCAATTTTATCAGTCTGGGATGGAGATCCTGACACCAATCTTTTTTAAAGCTCCCGAAGGGGTTCTATTGTTCAGTCTAGGTTGGAACCCCCTCCCCTGACATGGGAGCTTTCCTTGCTTAAGTTTTTCCACATACATACACATCCCTAAATAATGTATTTTGTTTTGCCCAATTCTGAAGTTTCCATAAATGGAGTCATGCCATACATACATATATATATTCTTTCGTGATTTGTTTTTGTTCCATGCCATGAAGTGCATCTGTGATGTATGGTGGGTTTGAATTCCAGTGCATGACTATACCAGTTTATCCATTCTACTGTTAATGTCATCATTCAGCTGTTAGCACAACACTGGTGTGAACCTGCTTGTATGCATTTCCTGGTTCAGTTATGCAAGAGATGCGGTCAGAGTATATGTATCTTCACCTGACTAGTGTATTAGTTTCCCAGGACTGTTGTAACAAAATTAGCACAACTTGAGTGGTTTAAAATAACAGAAACTGACGCTCTGTAGCTCAGGGCTTAGAGCACTGGTCTCGTAAAATAACAAACTGATTTTCCCAGAGATCTGTTTGGAGGCCCGAAGTCTGAGATGAAGGTGTCTACAGGGCAGTGTCCTCTGAAGCCTCTGGGGATGACTCCTTGCCTCTTCCAGCTTCTGGTGGCTGCAAGCTTTGACTCACGGCTGCATCACATCAGTCTGCCTTCACCTTCACGTGGTCTTCTGGTGTCTGTGTCTTCTCTTACCAGGACACTTGTCATCGGATTTAGGGCCCACCTGGATAATCCAGAGTACTCTCATCTCAAGATCTTTAACTTAATCACATCTATGAAGACCATTTTTCCAAAGAAAGTTATTCACGGGTTCCAGGCAGGTGTATCTTTTGGGGGAGGGAAGGCTACCATTCAACTCAGTATAACTAAGAAATACCAAAGTTTTTCAAATGGGTGTGGCTGGTTGGGTATTTCCTTTCTAGGCGACCATGGCCCCTTGCTGAGGAAGGGACAGACCAACTCCCTCTGGAGAAGGGCTGGTGCTTAGGCAAGGTCCATCCTTCCCCCATCTCACATTGTAAATCTGATGCCCGTTGGATGTCACTCTGCTGCCAGCCCAGGTTCTCCCCTGGGCTTGGGGCTTGGGGATCTCCCAGTGGTGAGCAGTCTGGCAATATGTCCTAGCCTTCTCACTGCCACATGATCTTGCACAAGCCATGTCTCCTTGTTCAGACTCAGTTTCTTCATCTACAAAGTGAGGCTTTATCCCCCAATCCAAGATCTGAGATGCCAGAGAGTCCCTGCATAGGAAGCCCCATGTCTGTCGCCAGGGGGTGGAATTCTGGCCCTTTGCTTTGTGGAGAGGTTGCTGATGGCCTCTAGCTCTCATTCTGGACCTTGGGGTATAGGGCCCCAGCCTACCCTCTCTTCACCCTCCAATGGAAATGGAGCCAAGCCCAGGATACTTTACTTGCTCCTTTTTATTTGGCATTGCATCCAGGATAGGGGCAGTGAGGACCGAAGCAAGGGCTTCTCTAGCCTCACATCCCCCATGCCCCCTAGCCCCTGGTATGCATTGATAAAGGGCAGGGGTCCTGGAAGGCTCAGTGTCTTCATGAGGCATGCCTCAGCCTTGGGTTTGTCACAGAGTCTGGTCTTGAACTTGCCTTTGGTCTTGATCTTCCTGTGGGTGCTAGGAAGATTTCCAACTTCGAAGGGTAGAGGCCACAGGGCACCTCCAGGATGGGAACCACGAAGGCGCTGGGGGGCAAGAGCCTCGGTGTGAAAGGGGGGAAGAGGTGGAAGAGATGATCAGGAAATCTGTTCAGGAAGGGGGTTCTGAGGACAAAAGCCCTTCCCCTGGGGCTCCAGCCAGCCTGGGACCTGCCCTTGCCTGGGCCCTCCAGCCCTGACCCCAGAGCCCAGGATTCAGCACTGCCCACCAGGGTGCCAGTCACAGCTCAAGGCCCACCTTTCTTGGTTTCAGGACACTGGATGCCAACTTGAGCTCAGGGTTAGGCGGGAAGGAAATCAAAACCTTGGCAGTAGGTAGAGTCATCAAGGCCTTGCCTGTGGTCGACAGGGCCTTAGAGCCCACCAACTTGCTGTGTTGCAGTCTGAGGACCCGCCCCTGGGATCGGAGCACATGGGGAGAAGACAGCCGGGCCTTGGTGTGGAGGCTGGGGAAGTGGTAAGGGGCTGTGGGAGCAAAAGGGGCCATGAGGGCCTGGGGAGGGTCCAAGGCCAACCAGCTGCCCCTCAAGGAGAGCGTGGAGGGTGGGGAGGTGGGGGAAGATGAGGGCTGGGGTGTGAGGTGGCAGATGGAGCCCTCCCAGTTCCTCCTCCAGAGGCCGTGGGAAGAACACAGGATTTGGAGTCCAACAGACCTGGGCCTGCATCCCAGCTCTGCCCCTTCTAAGATGTGCAACCTCGGGCAACTTCCTTAAACTTCCTGATACCTCGGCTGGAAAATGGGGATAATAGCACCTACCTTGCTAGGTCGTGAGGACTAAAGGAGCTGGTTAGGTAGCGGCAGAGTGCAAACTGTTAAGTGCTGTACAAACATTAGCTCCTTTCCCCCAGAGGCAACTCTGCATGGAGGCAAAGGCAGAATACTGCAGCAGGAAAAGCTTGGGCTCTGGAGAGAGATGGGCCTGGGACTGAGTCCTGGCATCTGAAGTAAGTCCAACTGCCCTGCGGGGCGGCTACTTTGGAGGGAACAATACTCATTTGGTCACACATTTTTAAAAAATGCTTTGTAAGTGGTGGCTTTTCCTTGCTACTGGTGTCTTTTTGGTGGGGCTATGGTGGGGGTGCAAATCCAGGTGGTTAGGAGGGGGGGCTTGGAGAGCAAGAAGAAATTGCCTTGGGACCCTGGGGTGTTTTGGGGGAATGGTCTTACCCAGGGCCTGGGGGTTCTTCAGACTCAATGGTAATCTGTTCAAGGGGTGGAGCTGCCTGTCCGCACTAGCAAAGGTCATGGTGAAAATGCAGCCCATCCTGGTGCTGGGGGGCTCCCACTTCCGGAGATTGGGGTTGACCAGGGCTGTGGCACTTTTCGCCTTGCCTTTCTTCCCCTTTCCAGGGGCCGAGGTGGGGGCAGTGGAGGCTGGCTTCTCAGTGTGCCCCGGGCTCCTGGCCCCAGCAACTTTCCTAGGAGCTGACCTATGGGTAAGGGTCCCCGAGTCCTTGCCTTCCCCAGAGCCTCTCTGGGTCAGCAGGTGAGGGAGTGCTGGGTGGACCCCCATCCGCCGGTGACACATTGCCAGGGGCTTCTTGATGGTGGAGCCCTCTACTAGGAGCCGGATACCCACATACTGGGGTACCTCCACGGCAGGCTGTGGGAAAGAAGAGGAGATGAGGCCTGTTCAGACAGTGATGCTGGAATCGTAGGCCCAGAAGGAATCAGGGCAAAGATAGATGGAATGAATTTCTGGGCTAAGAAACAGGAAGCCCACCTCTGTCCTCTAAGGAGTCTGGCTCCGTTGGCCTGAATCAGTACCTAGAAAGTCACAGAGTCCCTGGGATTAGTAACCCAGTGGAGTCAAGGAGTCTTAGCCATGCTACCACCAGCACCCCCTACCCTTTGCCCTCCCCTAAGCTCTCCCAGCCCCTGCTAGAATGTGAATGGCTCTGCTCCACAAGCCACTGCTGATGGACAGCTTCCTGAGTTAAGCCAGATTCTCTGCAGACAGAATTTGAGTTATGCCACCCAGACAGATAAGAGGCTTGGGGACTGCCTGGAGCCCTGCATGAACCCATTATGGGGAAGCAGAAATTAAGAGCCTTAATGAAGGCATTCGACTAAGAGAATGAAGTAGCAAATTTGCAGAAGGAGGCAGAGAAAAAGGTTCAAAAGAGGAGCTCCTGTATGACTTTCACAATTTTCACAATATTAAGCCAGCTGTACATCCTGTAGCTAGGCTCCAGGAGAGCCCCCTGTGTCTTGCTAATGACCCCCTTTTAACCTTGAGCTACTTTGAGGTATTTTCTGTGTCAACAAAGGATCCTGATTAGAATCTATCTAAACATCAGAGTCACTTGAAGCTTGTTAAAAATACAAATATCAGAGCTCCCACAAAGACCAACTGATAAGAGGCAAGAATCAAAACTGGGTATCAAAACAGGTCAGTGAAAAGGATGACAGGAAAATGTGTCATGTGCACATAGCCTAGACATCACTTTACAAAGTAAGTGATCATCGCAAGAGGGAGGATCCAACTTACAATAGAGAGATCTGGTAGCCACCACCTTAACCCCGTGGCCAGACTTAGCATCACTAATCAGGAGATACTCCAACAGTGTGTGCCTTGTGATACCATATGGGATACCCAGCATCACCTCTCAAGTGTTCTTGCCAAAAATGTTTAACCTGAACCTCATCAAGCTGTTTGGCCTAACTTTAGTTTATAGGACATTGAGATAACAGAAGAACAAGCTAAAAAGCACCACGAAGAAAAAATCAGATAAATCCAGAATGTGGGACAGTTCTACAAAACAACCAGCTTGGTCCCTTCAAAAGATCCAAACAAACTATGGGGCGGGGGGGGGGGGGGCGGAGCAGTGCCACTGCCCTAGATTAAAAGAGATTAAAGAGCACCCAAAGGAATACAAACCTGTAATAAATGTAATCAAGGAAGTGAAAGACCTGTACATTGAAAACTAAGATACTGATGAAAAAAACTGAAGACACAAATAAATGGAAAGATACTCTGTGCTCATGGATTGGAAGAATTAATGTTACTAAAATGTCCACATGACCCAAAGCAATCTACAAATTCAATGCAATCTCTTTCAAAATTCCAATGGCATTTTTCACAAAAATAGAAAAAACAATTCTAAATCTTATATGGAACCACAAAAGACCCTGCACAGTCCAAACAATTTTGTTTAAGATTTTTATTTTTAAGTCATCTCTATACCTAACATGGGGCTCGAACTCAGGACCCTGAGATCAAGAGTCATACACTGCACCGACTGAGCCAGCCAGGAGCCCCCAAACCAATTTTGAGAAAGAAGAACAAAGCTGGAAGCATCACACTCACTGACTTCAAACTATAATACAAAGCTGTAGCAATCAAACAGTATGGTACTGGCATAAAAACAGACACCTAGATTAATTGAACAGAATACAGAGCTGCCCAGAAATAAACCCACACATACAAGGTGAATTAATTTATGACAAAGGAGGTATAAATATTCAGTGGGGAAAGGACAATCTCTTCAATAAATGGTGCTGGGAAAAGTGGAAGCTACATTCAAAAGAATGAACCCAGACCACTACCTATAACACACACAAAAACCAACTCAAAATGGATTAAAGTGAATTTAAGACCTGAAACCATAAAACTCCTAGAAGAAAACACAGGCAATACTAAGCTCCTTGACATCAGTCTTGGCAAGGATTTTTTGGATTTGATACGAAAAGCAAAGGTAATAAAAGCAAAAATAAACACATGGGACTACATCTAACTAAAAAGCTTCTGCACGACAAAGGAAACCATCAACAAAGTAAAAAAGCAACCTGCCAAATAGGAGAAAATATTTGCAAATCATATATCTGATAAGGGGCTTATATCTAAAATATATAAAGAACTCCTACAACTCAATGGCAAAAACACAAATAATCTGATTTAAAAATGGGCAGAGGATATGAACAGACATTTTTCCAAAGATGACAGACAGATGGCCAACAGGCACATGAAAAGGTGCTCAACATCACTAATCATGGGGGAAATCCAAGTCAAAACCATAATGGCATATCACCTCACATGTGTTAGAATGGCTATTTTCAAAAAGGTAAGAAACAACAAGTGTTGGTAAGGGTGTGAAGAAAAGGGAACCCTTGTGAGCTGTTAGTGAGAATATAAATTGGTGCAGCCACTGTGCAAGATAGTATGGAGGGGTGCCTGGGTGGCTCAGCTGTTAAGCGTCTGCCTTCGGCTCAGGTCATGATCCTGGGGTACTGGGATCGAGCCCCACATCGGGCTCCCTGCTCCGCGGGAAGCCTGCTTCTCCCTCTCCCACTCCCCCTGCTTGTGTTCCCTCTCTCACTGTCAAATAAATAAATAAAATCTTAAGAAAAAAAAAAGATAGTATGGAGCTTTCTCAAAAAATTAAAAAAAAAAAAACTACCACATGATCCACCAATTCCACTTCTGAGTATTTATCCGAAAGGGAAAAAAATTACTAACTTGAATAAATAATCTGCACCCCCATGTTCATGGCAGTATTATTTATAACAGCCAAGACATGGAAGCAACATAAGTGTCCATCAATGGATGAATGAATACAGAAAATGTGTCTGTCTGTTTAGCTAGCTAGCTATCGTGGAATATTATTTAGACATAAAACAGAAGGAAATCTTGCCATTTGTGACAAAATGGCTGGGCTTTGAGGGCATTATGCTAAGTGAAATAAGTCAGGAAGAAAGACAAATATCTCATGATGTAAATTAAATGTGGAATCTAAAATAAAAACAAAAACAAAACCCAAAACTCTGAACTCATAGATAGACAACAGATTAGTAGTTGCCAGAGGCAGTGGGCGAAATGGATGAAGGGGGCCAAAAGGTACAAACATCCAGTTATAAAATAAGCAAACCACGGGAGTGCCTGGGTGGCTCAGTCAGTTAAGTGGCTGACTCTTCATTTCGACTCAGGTCATGATCTCAGGGTTATAAGACTGAGCCCCTGGTCAGGCTCCGTGCTGGGCATGGAGCCTGCTTAAGATTCTCTCTCTCCCTCTCCCTCTGGCCCTCCCCACCCTGCTCTCTCTCTCTCCCTCTCTAAAAAAAAAAGTAAATCATAGATGTAATGTACAGCATGGTAACTATAGTTAATACTGTACTGCATATTTGAAAGTTGCTAAGGGAGTAAATCTTAAAAGTTTTCATCAGAAGAAAATAAAATTATAACTGTGTGGTAATGGATGTTAACTAGAATTATTGTGGTCGTCATTTCACAACATATACAAATATCGAATATATACATATACAAATATTGTATACTTTAAGTGAATATAATACTGCATGTCAATTACACCTCAATAAGAAAAAAACTTCAGAGGGGCGCCTGGGTGGCTCAGTCGCTAAGCGTCTGCCTTCGGCTCAGGTCATGATCCCAGGGTCCTGGGATCGAGCCCCGCATCGGGCTCCCTGCTCTGTGGGAAGCCTGCTTCTCCCTCTCCCACTCTCCCTGCTTGTGTTCCCTCTCTCGCTGTGTCTCTCTGTCAAATAAATAAATAAAATCTTAAAAAAAAAAAAAGAAAAAAACTTCAGAGAGATCTAAGTCCTTTAAAGCAGCTACAGATCTTTTAAGCATCCCAAAGCATACCTACAGGTCTTATGTTTAAATCTTTAATACATTTTAAGTTAACAGGGAGGGTATAGGCACTCTCTGTTAACAGTAGGGCTTCTATAATTGTGAGGGCTGTTGTCCTACAGCAGCCTCATAGGGAGAAGAGTTCTAAGACTTGTGGATATGGATTTTGTGTAATAGAATAGATTATAAATTGATACCTAAGAAACCCACAATGTTTTTACAAATATCCACTTGAACTGAAAGGGACAGATACAATATGAAATGAAAAAGGCTTTTGTATCTTCAAATTTCTATGAGCAGGTAACAGACTAAGAACTATTGAGGATGTTCATGGAAAAGGAAGGATGATTCAGGGCTGAACTGAGATCCCAATGGATGGAAGCAAGAGCCACGGAGAACTCCTAGTAAGTAACAATGGGTCTTAATAGCAAAACTGGAAACATGAGGCAGGCTAGATTTCAGAGTTGTTATGGACCAGTGCTTCCTGTGTACCTCCTACCCTGCCTCAATGCCAAGTGTGTATCTTGATTACACGTTAGTTTAAAAAAACAAAAACAGGGGCACCTGGGGGGCTCTGTCCACTGAGTGTCTGATTCTTGATTTGGGCTTGGGTTGTGGTCTTGGGGTTGTGGGATTGAGCTCCGCATCAGGCTCCATACTAGGCTCCACACTCAGTGCAAAGTCTGCTTGAGAATCTCTCACTCTCTCTCTCCCTCTGTCCCTCCCCCTGCTCATGCTCTCTCTCTCTCTAAAATAATTAAATTCTTTAAAAGATTATAAAAAACAAAAACAAATAAACTATAAAATTTGGGAGGCACAACTAGGACATCTGAAAAATGCAGATTTATAATCCCTAAACCAGACATTTCAGATCAATCTCTGGGGTGTGGCTTCCTGACACCTGTATCTTTGGAAAGCTTGCCAGGTGATTCTGGCCTCTGAACCAGCATTTGGGAACCATTGTGCTAGAACATTCCCTTCTCCCTTGGTTTTGTCTTATTTTCCTGCCCTTATATTTCTTCACTTACATTTGATTTTTAAGATTTATTTATTTATTTGACAGAGAGGGAGAGCAAGTGCATGCAGAAGCAGACAGAGCGGCTGGCAGGCAGAGGGAGAAGCAGCCTCCCCGCTGAGCAGAGAGCCTGGGATCATGATCCTAGCAAAAGGCAGATGCTTAACTGAGTGAGCCACCCAGGCACCCCATGTTTTTGTTTTTGTTTAAGATTTTATTTGTCAGAAAGAGAGAGCACAAGCAGGGGGAGAAGCAGGCTTCCCGCCGAGCAGGGAGCCCAATGTGGGACTCAATCCCAGGATCCTGGGATCATGACCTGAGCCGAAGGCAGCTGCTTAACTGACTGAGCCCCCCAGGTGCCCTTCACTTATGTTTTTTGAAACCAAAGTGCCGATATTAATTTATGAACAGTAACGGTGACAAAGACCAGGACACTTGGGTCATGTGATCTGCACGTTCTCTACCTGTGGCCAAACTTTGGTAGAAGCTGAATCCTAATCAGAATGATACTTAGGATTAGGGTACTTAATTTAACTGCCACCAGAGATTACTTGCAGAGTTCAGAAACCCTTGAAATTGGTCTTCTGACTGATTTTTAAAAATCTTATTCTATTCCAATAAGTAGACTCAAATCTCTTTCTGGAACAAGGGGAGTAAAATTATTACAAAAGTATTAAAATAATAATAATAATAACAACAACAGCAGCAGCAGCAGCTTCCACTGACTCTTACTGTATTTTCAGGCATTGTATGTGATGCCATCGTCAAACACCCGACAACCTTATTAGGTAGTAACAATAGCTAAAACCTGCAGCACTGACTATGTTCGGGCGTTGTTCTGAAGGGCTTTACTTATGTCAACTCACTTAATTATCACAACCTTATGAGGTAGGGACTATCTGCAGTCCTGTTTTACAGATGAGAAAACTGAGTGCCCCAGGGGTCAGGAAATTGTCCAAAGCCACACAGCTCATAATTACTGAGCAGGAATTTGAACCCAGGGAGGTTTTGCTTTTAACACTTTGCTATATGACTCTCCAGAAATATGATCCACATGTATATTTTTGTTGTTGTTAGTGTTACAATTAATTTTTTTTAACTCCAGTGTAGTTAACATACAGTGTTATATCAGTTTCAGGTATACGATATAGCAATATAGCGATTCAACACTTCCACGGATCACCCCGTGCTCATCACAAGTGCCCTCCTTAATCTCCATCACCTGTTTCACCCATCCACCACCTGCCTCCCCTCTGTAACTATCAGTTTGTTCTCTATAGTTAAGAGTCTGGTTTGGGGTTTGTCTTTTTTTTTTTCCCCCTTTGTTCGTTTTTGTTTCGTTTCTTAAATTTCACATGTGAGTGAAATCATATGGTATTTGTCTTTCTCTTACAGGCTTATTTCACTTAGCATTATACTCTCCAGCTCCATCCACGTTGTTGGAAAAGGCAAGATTTCATTTTTATGGCTGAATAATATTCCACTGTATATACCACATTTTCTTTATCTATTCATCTATCGATAGACACTTAGGCTATTTCCATAATTTGGCCATTGTAAATAATGCTGCAATAAACATAGGGTGCATGTATCCCTTCAAATTAGTGTTTTTGTATTCTTTGGGTAAATACCCAGTAGTGCAATGACTGGATCGTAGGGATGCTCCACACACATTAACCCATTTTCATGCTTCCAAACCCTATGAGAAAGATGGTAATGGCATCTCCATTTTACAGATGAAGAAATGGAGGCTCAAGGTTAAAAGTGGCTGTACTGAGTCACTGTGGCAGGACCAGAACTTGAACCAGTTCTGTCTGACTGCAGTGCCCTGTGTTTCACTAGAGGGTCGCCTGGAAGAGGGGGCGCCACCTCACCTGCTTGTAGATGAGCTCGAAGGCTCCTGTGTCACAGCTGCGGTCTAGCCGCCGGTCGATGACCACACGCAGGGTGTCGGCTTGCACACCTGCACAGAGCCGGGCAGTGACAGCAGTGGAGGGGGCCATGGTGGGACTGGCATTGATCTCTATCAGCCAGGGCTGGAAGTCCTCACCAAACACAAAGTCAGCACCATAGAGCTCGAAGCTGGCCTTCCGACACTGCACGGTGTCCTGGGAGGTCTGCAGGGCATGGATCACTGCAGCCTTCATGCCAGGCATGATAACAGTGGCCCAGGCGTCTGGGGCCCCCATCTCCTGCAGGTGCGCCTGGAACTTCTGGCTCGACCACATGTTGTCTGAGGGTAGCAGCGGGTGCCGATGGCATGAATTCTCCAGGTGCTTCTGAATGGAGTTGTTGCACAAGTGCACTGAGCTGGGGCAGAGAGCAGAAAGCTGGGGTCTGGCTCCCTGTGCCTCTCCCACCCAAATGTGGGGAGGGCAGACAGAACCTGGAACCAGCCCTGGGCCATCCCAGACCATTCACCTTGAGATGGGGCTCTGCGGGGAAGCACAAGAAGGACAAAGGCCTGGGCCCTGCTACATTCTTCTAGGGCCAGAACGAGTCCCATCCCTCTGAGAGCACTCCCTACAGGGACACAGTATTACGTGCTTTAGTCTCAGTTAGCCCTCCCACTGCCTGGAAGGTACGAAGGTGGGTAGGAGTGTGGGCCCTGTAGTCAACAAGACTGCTCAAAACAAAAACGAAAACAGACAAAAAACAAGACTGCTCAAGGCCTACCTTCACCACCGACTAGTTGTGAGATCTTTTCACCCAAGTGCTCCTTCACATCTGTAAAATGGGGGTGGTACTAGGACCCACTTCACCGGGTTTTCATGAATGACTGAGACAATATGCATGAAGTGCTTAGCACCTGTCACATATGAAGCATTCAGTAACCGATAGCTATGAGTTTCATAATACTGCCTCCACTCTTCAGATGTGAAAAACGAAGCTTCAATAGGTTTCACGTGACCAAAGTCACACAGCTTAGCAGCTGCAGAGATGGAATTTGAACCCAGGGCTCAACCAGGCTTTACTCTCACCCCGCCCCGAGTTAACGCTGCAACTTGCCTCTCTCCTTTCACATTTCTCCTGAACCATCTTACTCTGCTCTATGTTCTTTTTTTTATATAACATATACCATATTTCAACCTATTAGATAATCTTACTTACTACATTCATTGCTTATCTATGAGTAACAGCATTAAAATGATGCCTTATGAACATAACATACTTAACATCACTCATTATAAAAGAGATAAAATTAAGATAACCATTTTCCACTTGGAATGGCAAAGATAATCAACATTGTTGGGTAGGATGTGGGCAGACACATTTCATACTCGCCCAGCTTATGTGCGGGAGTGTGAACTCTTGATAACTGGGCTCTTATTTTGGTCACTGCTGTATCCCAGGTGCTTAGAACACCCTTGGTAGGTATCTGTTGTATGGATGGAGGACCTGACTGCTTGCAGAGTCTGTGTTAGGAGCCCAACATGGCACTGGGGAACCCCCTGTTCCTTGTCAGCTCCCAAGCTAGACAGGGAGCTCAGAGGAGATAAGGGATATGGCTCACTTGTCAAGGTTCTTCAAAGAAAAGGGCTGTGTGGAGAAGCGGATGTAGCTGTCACGGTAGAACCACACGGTAAGTGGGTTCCAGTCGGTCACCAGGAACCACTGTCTCAGGTCAAATTTGGTGCCAAAGATGAGCAGAGGCCGTTCAATATACTTCTGTACCACCCACTTGCCGTCTTTCATCATCATGGGGTTGCCATCTACCAGCTTCAGCATCTCCTCCAGGTGGTCCATACACATGATGCCTAAGGGGGAAACAGAGTGGTCAGGGATCAGGTCAGGCTTGGGCTAGGAGAAGGGCCAGGGGACCACGGACAGCTCATCTTAAGCCCTCATCCCTACAGAACTGATAGGGCCAAGTAGGTAAGGCTGCTTCCCTCAGAACCTTGTTCCCTTTGGGAAAGCAGAGGATCTGCTGAAAATTAAAACATTTTTTTTAATTAACCACTTCCGTTTGATTGAAAAGTAATATATGCACAGATAAAAATTCAAACCATATTGGGCTTTTTAAAAAACCATGTGCATATATGACTTTGATTAGTTTTTTCCCAATAATTAACAGAATATAAAATAACAAAAACAAAAAGCAGGCAGTACAAAAGGGTATACAATAAAAAATACTTCTTTCCCAGAGGCAGCCAACTGCTGCTTCCAGGTCCAACATTTATCCTTCCAAGTTATGGGAGAGTCTACATGCCTCGCTTTGATAGATTCTATACATCTGAACATGTTAAAGATTTAGAATAGTTCTTGGCCCACGGTGAGCATTCAGCAAATGTTAATTCCTACTATTATTATTAGTTATCTGTAGAACAAATTTCTAGCTGTAGATTTGCTGGCTCCAGGGATATGTACATGTTTTCATTTTATATTACCCAAGATGTTCTACCAATTTGCACTTCCAGCAAAAGTGTACGAGATTATGTATCTGCCCACATCCTACCCAACACTACTGATTATTTTGGCTATTCTTCTAGGTAGAAATGGTTATCTAATTTTAATTTTATCTCTTTTATAACAAGTGACATTAAGTATGTTGTATTTATAAGGCATCATTTTAATGCTGATAATGATCAGAGTCATGTGGCAAACATACAGATTCACAAATCAATCTCACTCCTTCATTCTTTGGTCCCCAAAGCAGCCCGATCACCTGCTAATGGCACAGAATAGCCTATGCCTGGTTCCCAAGCCAGAGCCTTTCTCAAATGGCCAGAATGATCACCAAGATTCCCAAGAACATGATGCTTGTGACCTTTTTTTTTTTAAGATTTTTTTATTGGGGCACCTGGGTGGCTCAGTCAGTTAAGCGTCTGCCTTCGGCTCAGGTCATGATCCCAGGGTCCCACGTTGGGCTCTGCACTCAACAGAGAGTCTGCCTGAAGATTCTCTCCCTCTGCCCCTCTCCCCACTCGCGCCTGCATGTGAGCGCACACTCTCTCTCTCTCTCAAATAAATAATCTTTAAAAAAAAAAAACCCAGGAAGACTGTTCATAACAAGAAGCTAAAAACAGGGAAAAAAAGGCAGATCTAGATATACTGAAATGAAGTGATCTCTAAGATTTATTGTTAAGAAAAAGAAAAAATGCAAAAAAGAAATGAGTAATACTCATATGAGTAATACTCATTGAAATGAGTAATACTCGGGCGCCTGGGTGGCTCAGTTGGTTAGGCGACTGCCTTCGGCTCAGGTCATGATCCTGGAGTCCCTGGATCGAGTCCCACATTGGGCTCCCTGCTCAGCGGGGAGTCTGCTTCTCCCTCTGACCCTCCCCCCTCTCATGTGTTCTCTCTCTCTCATTCACTCTCTCTCTCAAAATAAATAAATAAAATCTTAAAAAAAAAAAGAAATGAGTAATACTCAACTGATATGGAAAGATATAATAAAGGCGAAAAGGATACAGAATAATATGTTGTTTAAAATAAAACACAAATAAATAAAAGCTTTAAAAAGAAAAAAAAGGGGGCACCTGGGTGGCTCAGGTGGTTAGGCGACTGCCTTCGGCTCAGGTCATGATCCTGGAGTCCCGGGATCAAGTCCCACATCGGGCTCCCTGCTAAGCAGGGAGTCTGCTTCTCCCTCTGACCCTCCCCCCTCTCATGTGCTCTCTCTCTCTCTCATTCTCGCTCTCTCAAATAAATAAATAAAATCTTTAAAAAAATTTAAAAAAAAATAAAAATAAAATAAAACACACACGCACGCACACAGCCTCCTTTTCCCTCTCTCTCCTCAAATGCATAGAAGAAAGCCTAGAAACACACCAAAAGGTTAACAGTAGCTATCTCAGTAAAACCAAGAGCGGCTTTTGCTTTCTTCTATGTGTCTGTATTGTCTGGTCTTTTTTTTTTTTTTTTTTTTTGAGAGAAAGAGAGAGAGGGTGCACATGCATGCCAGATGGGGAGGTAGAGGTAGGGGAGAGGGAGAAAGAGAATCCCAAGCAGGCTCTGCGCTCAGCACAGAGCCCCATGTGGGGCTTGATCTCACGACTCTGAGATCATGACCTGAGCCAAAACCAAGAGTCAGATGCTTAACTGACTGAGCCACCCAGGCACCCCTGGTCTTTCTTTTCTTTCTTTTTTTTTTTTATTTTTTTTTAAAGATTTCATTTATTTATTTATTTGAGAGAGAGAAAGAGAGAGAGAGAGCGAGCATGAGAGGGGAGAGGGTCAGAGGGAGAAGCAGACTCCCCAGTGAGCAGGGAGCCCGATGTGGGACTCAATCCTGGGACTCCAGGATCATGACCTGAGCCGAAGGCAGTCGCCTAACCAACTGAGCCACCCAGGAGCCCTTCTTTTTTTTTTTTTTAATAATAAATACATATTTTCATAATTGGAAGAAAACCACACAAGTATTTTCAAGGTAGGAAAAGAAAAGACCAACATGCTGGTTTTGAAGTGACATCCTTGAGAGGAGTGTCCCACAGTGTCTGGACCTTTCACTTGGACATGAACAAACTCATCCAAGAACAGTATTTGGAAGAATCTGGAAGTCTGTTTTCCACATCTTGCGAGTCCTTAACCAGACTTTTTAGGCTGGGCTAATGCAGCACCCCAACTTGCTGGCTCTCCTGTTATAATTTCACTCACTGGGCTGAGCAGCCAGAATAATAGCTAAAAATTGTAGCACTTACATAGCAGTTACTACGTAAAAGTACATATTATACTTACTTAATCCTCTCTAGTAGGTAATATTGGTTCCATTTACCAAATGATGAAATGAGGTAGAGAAGAGGTTAACTATCCTGCTCAAAATCTTACAGATAGTAGGAGGCAGAGTTTGGGCCTGACCTGATGCAGTCTGGCTCTCAGCATCCATACCCTTAACACCATGCTATTTCACAAGGATGCACTGGTCAAATCAGAGAGCCCTTAGATGACAGGCGACTGCACACGAGTATCACCAGACACACCTAATGCATTAACCCAATTCTGAAAGCAGGAGAGGAGATGACACTCGTCACAGCAGCCAACGTTTATGGGGTGATTACTCTGTGTCAGGCACCATGGTGAGCTTTAGACACACCACCTCATTTAATCCTCACCTCACAGGATGAGGGAACTGAGATTCAGAGAGGTGATGTAACTTGTTCAAGGTCACAGAGCATGTTAGTAGCAAAGCTGGGATTCAAACCCAGGCAGTTTGGCCCCAGTACAGCCTGCACTATTAAGCTCCCTGGCCTCTAGTTGGAGAGGCAGGCTGTAGGGTGCTGGTGTAGGAAGCAGGGGCTGACTCCCACCTCGTCCTCGGGACTTGGCTCCTGGCTTCACGATCCAGATGTTGCGATCTCCTTCCATGTCCATCTGGGGCACCACGGCCCGCAGCTGCTGCAGGATGTCCTCACAGCGCTGGACCTGAGCGTCAAGGTGCCTGAGTTCTGCCCCCTCGCTGTGGGGAGATGATGGGACATGGGCAGGGCTGGGCCTGAGGGCAGCCTGGTGGACAAGGCGAGAGGAGACACGAGCCCTGCCCCGCCCCCGGCCATGGTTCAACCAGCCGGGCTCATGCCTTTCCCCAAGAAACGCACATAGGTCTCCTCCAAACCTCCACCCCACCCTCAAGCTGCCCCCCAAATTGTAACCAGCCCAGGGCACCGTCTGAGAGTGCTGGAATAGGAGAGAAGAGGGAAAATTCCACATTTTACACACCATCCCACTCTAACACTCCACCTTCTGCCACCTCCCTCCTATTACAATAAAACTGCCTTGGCAGAATATAATCACACCAGCATCTGATGATGAGGCACCACTACACGCCGGGCACGGTGCCAGGGGCTTCACATATGTTATCACTAATCCTCTCTATGGCCCTGCCAAGGAGGTATTACTGGTCCCATTTTGGAGAAGTGCCAACTGAAGCTGGGAGAGTTCAGGGACTCGCCTAAGGCCACATATTGAGTTCAGTGGCTGAGCCAGGATGCAAACTCTGTCCTGCCAGATCCCTCCACCCACAGGTGCTTTTGGGGGTTCATTCCCCTCCAAACCTGGACCTACAACTGTTTGACAGGTGGGTCCCTTCCTGGTCTAATTCTTTTCAAGCACATGTGTATCACACAGCCCCTTGGCTTGTCTCTCATCCCAACCACCCCACCCCTATGCGTACTTAGCTGTTGTCTGTCTCCCTTCACTGGAGTCTAAGCTCCGTAAGAGCAGGAACGTTGGTTAGCGTTTCCCCTCCCCCAGCAGTATACCTGGCACTTTTACATGCTCTCAACAAAGTCTGTTGACTGGATGAATGGTTGCCCGCCTCAGCACTGGGCTGTACAGATAAGGGTTCACGGACAAAGAGGGACTCTGTTCCCTACAGGACGCAAACGTCCTGACCTAAACCAAGTCACGGAATACCTCACTCGGCAGCCTCCTCCACACCCTCCCCTTCCTCTCCCTCTGACTGAACAGGCAGGAAGCCTCCCTTAGATGCTAATCCTGCTTTATTTCTTTTTTTTTTTAATTTTTGTATTTGTTACAACTTTTTAAAGCAGAACGTGACTTGAGCACTACATTTCCACTCACAGAACTTGCTGAGTTACTTTTTGAACAGCTTTACAACATGCCTAAATAGGCTTAGAATTTCGCTACTCTAAACAACGCTCTTCTTTGGAAAACAAGCCCTATACATAGTTACTCCCATCCAGTTGGTTCAGTTTAACTACTAGTTTCTAGAAGCCTGGTAATCCTGCTTTATTTCTTAGCCTTATGAATGTTCCAGCCATGAAGAACTTCTAGTTCTCATACTGAGGAGGCAGCAGCACCCAGTGGGCAGCACCAGGAGTAGAGAGAGCAGCTAGATGGAGGGGGCTTGGCAAGGCCTCTTAGGAATAGTCACACCTGCTCCCTTTTCTGTGGGCCATGGCATGAGAATCTACTCAGTAAACCTGTGGTTTGGTCCAGGAAAGTGTCATATGAGGATGGCAGGGGCATGTGCAATTTGAAAAAGTCTATTAGATATGACAATGTGATTTTTGTATTTAACAAAAAAGAAAAACAACAATCAGTGTTTTTTGCAGGAAGTCAATCTTGATAAAAGTCTGGCTGCTGAGTCATGGATTTGTTTCAAAAAGTTGAAAACACAGCAGTAAATATTGAATGAATTAACAAAAGTTAATGATCTATAACTTCTGTGAGTGAACCACTTAACGCTATACATGTCATATGATGTAATTTAAAAAATTGTTTTTAGATTTTATCTATTTATTTGACAGAGGGAGAACAAGCAGGAGGAGAGGCAGAGACAGAGGGAGAAGCCGACTCACTGCTGAGCAGGGAGCCCGATGCGGGACTCGATCCCAGGACCCTAGGATCATGACCTGAGCTGAAGGCAGACGCTTAACTGAATGAGCCACCCAGGTGCCCCTAAAAAATATTTTTGACAAATGTTCCCGAGGCAAATTTTTTTTAAGTAAGCTCCATGTCCATCGTGGGGCTTGAACTCACAACCCCAAGACGAAGAGTCACATGTTTCACCAACTGAGCCAGCCAGGCGTCCTTATATGATGTGATATTCTATGTAATCCCGACTTTTGAGGAGTGCCTATGGCCCTCTGGAACTTGCCCCAATCTAGAAATACAAAGGACTCATGTTCTTTACACTTAATGTTCTAACTCAGTCTTGATAATTCTTAGTTTAAGAAGGGTAGCTTTTTCTGGTACTTTTCTGGTAGTTAAGGGGAAAGTATAAGGTCATCTAGTTTTTAATTTCTAACATTTAAAAAAGATACAAATGAATTATTTATCAAAGATGCAGGTTTGCTCAGTATGTCATTCATTCAAAGTTCACTTACTAGTTCTTTAGTGTCCCCTATCAAAATCATTAAGTCTGCCCATTCCTTTCTTTTTTTTTTTTTTAAAGATTTTATTTATTTGACAGAGACACAGTGAGAGAGGAAACACAAGCAGGAGGGAGTGGGAGAGGGAGAAGCAGGCTTCCCGCAGAGCGGGGAGCCCGATGCGGGGCAGGACCCCGGGATCATGACCTGAGCCGAAGGCAGACACTTAACGACCGGGCCACCAAGGCACCCCTGCCCATTCCTTTCTATTACCACACCGGCTAAGGCGCCTAGCACTTCCACCTGGCTTGTGGCAAGCCTCCCCACTTGAGCTGTGTGCCCCTTGAGGGCAGGAACGACACTTCATTTCTGGAGCCTGGCACCATGCTGGGCACATAGGAAGTGCTCAATAAATGCTGGGTGTTCTCCTGGCTTCAGGGTGCTTCTCCCTTTCTCTCTGCTGCACACCTCTGCTGAATCGAATCCCATTCTCGACTCAACTCCCTTCCTCTGATCAAGAACCTTTTCCCAAAGTGTGTTCTGAAAATACAGCCCCCCAGGATGCCTGTGGTAGGGCAGGGGCTGGGGCGGGGGTCACGTTAACTACAGGATATATGCACATGGTATCTCTCTTGAAGGTTAACGCCACCCACAGGTTCTGAAAAGTCTGGCATCAAGGAATTAATTAACTTTGTTTAACCTAATGTTTTCCAAATGCGACTGACCACAAAAGCCTTTCTTTCATTAAATTGATTTCTGCCCTGCAGAACTAAGCATCCTCTGTAACACACTTTGGGAAACACTGGCCTCAGGGTAAAACCTAAACAACTTAATAGATTCTCACTTTGTGAGTGAATACTATGAGTCTGTGCTGCGCACATAACACAGATTATCCTGTCTAATCCTACCTTTGAGGCAGACATTATTTTAAAATCTATTTTGCATGTGAAAAGTAAAGCTCAGAAAGATTAGTGATGTTGCCAAGGTCAAAGAGCCTGGAGCTGCAAAGTCAGGACTCTCTGACAGCGCAGGCCATGATCTTAGTCGTTATGAAAAGCCGAGATTCAGGAAGAATGGTTTGGAACCTATCGTGAAGGCAGTGGGAGTCCCTGAGAGTTCTTGAGCAGGAGCAGCAGGGCAAACAAAAGGGGGAGGCCTGGGGAGGAGAGTGGGGCTGCATTACATATGCATCAGCTCAGAACACAGAAGCCCCTGAGAGCAAGGGGAACCTGCCCACACCCCACAGTCCTAGGGGCAGAGGTACTCACTGGACCACTTGGTAGTAGCGCTGGAGGAAGATGGACCAGCCCTCGGGGCTGAGGTACAGCGGCGCCTCCAGGTCCTTGTCGATATCCATGTGAGCCAGGTTGCTAAGGTGCTCCTCACAGGCACAAAGAGCCTCATCCACAAACTCGGAGGACACCATTACTGGCTTTTTCTCCTGTTTCTTGGGCTGTTTGTCTCCTGAAGATAGGAAGGGGCCTGTCACTAAGCGACATGCAAGGCATATAACATGATACATGCCACAGCCTCCACTGCTCCAAGGCCTGTCATTTACCGGAGGCCTTACCTTGAATACATCTGAGGCTCAGCACACACCTGTATCCCCTACTGTCCTGGGACCTGTCACTTACCTGAGGGTTTGTTCTAAATTCCCCTGTGACCCTAGTACTCACTTGGTCCCCACTGTCCCATGGCCTGTCATTCACTTGAGGTTCCACCCTAAATGCCCCAGAACTTCTCAGCTCCTGTAGCCCCAGCACACATCTGCAGCCTCTCTGTTCCTGGGACCTCTGACACACCTGAGGCCCTTGTGTCCCTGATCCTGGCACACAACAGTCTTCTTTGCACCTGACACACCCAGGAGACAGCAATAGAGAGGTCTCTCTCTGGAAGAGGCAGGGATTTTCCTCCCTGCCCCTTACTTCCCTGAATCCATGGTTGATAGGCCCTTGGATTATAGGATGGGCACTTTGAGGTAGGAAATAAGTTCAGAGACAGAAAGGAAGAGCAAGCAATAGGTTGGGCCAACATGCAGTAGGGGATTCTCTGTGTCCCCCTCCACAAGGCACAAGGGGCCCTCAGACCACATGGAACTACATGGTTCCACTGCTTCTTCCTCATCAGAGATGTGAGCTCCCCACAGGCAGGGATGGACCATGTCTTCTTAATCTGTCCTCTCTATAATGCTCGGCCACATGCCAGGCCCATGGAAGGCTGAATGATGCAGTGGATGATTAACAAATGGGTCAGAAGACAGGTGGGTGGGTGGGTGGGACAGAAGAACAGATGAGTGGGTGGGGTGGAGGATACATGGGTGGTGGACAGGAGAACCCCTAAAAGCAGGGGAATAAATGGGTAGATGGGTTTGTGGGAGGGTAGGTAGGAAGGTGGGGCGTGGACAGATGGATAAAGAGTGTGGAGTGTGGAGCTGAGAGAAGGTAGGTGAATGAGTAGATCAATAGTGGGGGGATAGGTGGGGTGATGGGTGAATGAATGGATGGATGGATGGGCAGGTGAATGTGAGCTCAGTGGGGTAGGAGCAGATCAGTAGGAAGGTAGATGGATGAGCAGATGTATGGATGGACAAGTGGGTGGGTAGATGTAGGGATGGGTGGGTGGCAAGGGGTGATGGAGGAGATGGATGTGGCTAATACACAGATAGATGTATAAATAAACAGATGGATGGATGAGAAGATAAATAGGTGGGGAGTGGAGGTAACCAGAGTACTTACCTGGGGCCTCTTCCTCTTCTGCCTGGATAGAGTATGACTTCCATTCGGACTTTACCACCAGCTTGAGAACGTTGCGGGCAGCTGTCAGCCAGAAGTCCTCTGCTCCCAGGGCAGGGGATACCCTGCTCAGCTCCTAGGCTTGAAGCCTGTTCTGGTTCTGGAACCTGATCATAACCTGCCCCATTTTGGATCCGGAACCTAACTACCTTCCGACTCTACACTCTGGGGTTAGAACCTGGCTCCTGTTCAGTTGTAGAACCAGGCCTAGAATCTGACATGGCTCACGTTCTGCCTTCAGAATCTTGCCTAGAACTGTCGTCTCGTTTTCCCCTTCTGTTCCATATCCACTTTTGATACTTACTCTAGTCTGAGAACCAAAACTGAGCACAAAACCAATGTCAGGTTTGGAGATGAATTTAAACCTAACATCTAATCTGAACACAAATTCTGACCTAAATTTAGAACACGTTCTGAGGTTGGAAACTATTCCGCCTTAGGAGCCCAAAGTCTACAGCCTTTTCTAGATTTGGAACCCAATCTAGCCAATGGAATTTGACATAGGCCTGGAACACACTGTGGACTCCAAACTCAACCCACTGACCAACTTTTAGAACCTGCTTTAGAATGCAATCTAAGCTATCTAAGCTATTCTGGAGGTCCGGGTTGACCAAGCTAGGAAGTTCATTAAGGGAGGCACATTAAGGAAAGGTAGGAAAGGGGATGGAGGAGGAAATCTGCTGGAGTGGATGAGGGCATAAAGACAGGCTTTTGCTCTCTAACATGAACCAGGGTTTTAGCCTTCATGCTTTGGCCTGGGAGTCCAGGCATGGGGCTGGCATCTCCTTACCTATGAAGGCCTTTTTGTCATCCTCAGCCCCCAGGCGGTAGCAGCGTGGAAAGAAGGAGTCAGCATCAGCCTCATCAAACCATGGCAAATTCCGGAGATTGAGACATAGACCCACCTATGGAGTTAGCTGCTGAGGGGGCACAGTGGGACTTGCCCAGACACCTCTAAGGGACTCCCCACACTTGGCACACACCCAGACAGCTCAGGGAGATCCTGCTTGAGTGTTCTCTGAGCCTCTGCCGTACTTGCTAGGCCTGACTCACTCATATCCATCCCCATGTGTATGCCCACACAGTTCGCTCTGCCAAGAATGCCCCACATCCCTCCTATCCACCCTTTCACATTCTTAAAGCCCTGCCTCCTCTGGGAAGCCTTCCCAGCCTACACCAATAACATAATAGCATGCCCCAATAATAAAGCCCTTCATTCTTGCCACAACCCTACAGGATAGGTCCTCCTGGTGCTCTCATTTAAAGACAAGGAAACTGAGGCTCGGAGAGGGGAAGTCACTTGCTAATAAACCCAGGTGAGACAGAGTGGATCCAGCAGCCGAATACCCCTTGCTTAGTTGGTAAGGGCTCTCTTGTTTACAGTCATTGGATGTGGTGTTTTTCTGGCTCCAGATCCTATTTGGATTCTGGAGTCTCTTTTAGTCATTATGTCTACATGTGTCAGACATGCTGCAGGGGTTAGATTCGAACCCAGGCCTGCCTGACTCCAAATCCCACTGAATCATACACCTCTCTACCTCCTAAGAACTCTCTCTTCCTGACAAGGAAAGCAAGGAGTGGAGTTGCCGGCCCAAGAGCTAGCGGGTTAGAAGCTACTATGCCCACTCCCCTGGGGAACCCACCTTTGTGGTAAAGGAGCCAGCCCGGGCATAGTGGTTTATCATTTGATCCTTGGAGAGGAAGCGACAGTCCAGCACATCCCGCCGAGTGGTCCAGATGAAATAGGGGACCTCGTTCCGAACCATGCGGGACTGGGGAGAGCCAAGGAGACAGGGGAGACTGGCATGGGCAGCCAGGAAGGGCAGCAAGGCCTGAGGAACCTTCTCCCCAGCCTGCTGAGCAGGGTGGGTGAGTAGGAGATGCTTCCAAGGTGTCCTCTAGCCCACACCCCATCTTTGTGTATGGTAAGAAAAGACATCTCTTCCTCCAGGGCACACACTTGTGAGGAGAGAACAGGCTGGCTTACAGGACTCCTGTGGCCAGGTGCTCCCTACTCAGTGACTAAGCCACACAACTGAATGCCACACTTTTGTTTTGGCCCATGGTTATCAGTGACTTGCTCAGTGGCAGGACCTGGACTCCAAGCTGATGGGCACAGAACATGTGACAAAGGTTCTTTCAGGGCTCTTCCTCCTCCATCCTTCCCACAGCTCTGGAGGGTAGGGTTACTAAAAGGCAATGACATCCACGTGCCAGGCCCTGTTCTAAGTGCTTTTCTTTCTTCCTTCCTTTTAAAGTGCTTTTCGTATCAACTCACTTAATCCTCACCACAACCCTGTGAAGTAGGTGCTACTGTTATCCCCCTTTCACAGATGGGGGAACTGAGGCACAAGGAGGGCAAGTGACTTGTCCAAGAGCTCACATGGTTGAGCCATATGAAATTGCCAGTGTTCAACCTTTCCTGACATACAAAAATGGCAATCTGGTACATTCAGCTTAGTAAGTGGTGGTGCCAAGATCCAAAGCCAAGTGCCCTCACTTCAATACAGAGGTGTCCTCAGCTCTACATCATCATATCAGCCTCTTTCAGAGCTTTTTAAGCCCGCCCTTCCAGCCTTCACTAGCCAAGGGCTTTTATTTGGAAGGGGGAATTACAAGGTGTGGAGGTTATACTGGCTTCTGGTATAACCTAGCAGGGTTCTGATCCCAGGCCAGCCTTGTCTGAGCCCCACTGTGTCCCTCACCACTCTGCTGGCCCATCCAGGCTTTATAGAAAGCAATCAGTTTTTACTACGGATAGGGAAAATGAGGCCCAGAGAAGGAAAGGACTTCTCTGAGGTCACCCAGCTGGCTTCTAGTGCTCTCCCTCTCAGCCCCTCCCTGCCAGCCCCCCGGGGGCCCTCACCATCAGAGCATGTGTCCCATCTAGGTCATCAAATTCCAGTAAATCATCAAAGTCAAATAGCTGCGGTGGCCGAAATGCCTCGTCCCCTTCTTCATCCTCTGTGGAGGTAGAGCCCAGGCCTGGTGAGGCCCCTGTCCCTGCCCCATAGACCCATACCAAAGTCTCAACCCTGGGCTAGCAGGAACCAAAGGAAAGGAACTCAGGAAGGGCAGCCTGTGGAAAGGGAGGGAACTGCTTACCATCCTCAGTGGTGTCACTATCACCCATTACTGAGCTATCCAGATCCTTCTGGGGTGGTGGCAGGGTGGTGCCCGAGTGATGGACCATCTTCTTTTCCACCCAGCCTCTCCGGCGCAAGAGGCACCGTATCACTGGGTAGTGGCCTTGGATCATAAAGATCTTTTTCTGCTGTAAGGTGAGAGAAGGATACTTGGTTAGTATCACCCAAGTGCCAGACATACGAAATATAGTGGTGAACCAGACAGTTCTGGTTTCGGCCTTCAGGAAATTTTTATGTTCCAGCAGGGGAAATAGATTATAACCAAGTAGAGAAATAAATATGTATAGTAATAATTATAATGGTAATAGCTAACAATTATTGAGTACCTACTATTTACTGCTTAGTGTATATATATTACTAGCAACAATATGTATTTTTTTAAAAGATTTATTTATTAATTTTAGAGAGACAGAGATAGAGCATGAGTGGGAGGGGCACAGGAAAAGGGAGAGAATCTCAAGCAGATTCTGGGCTGAGGGCTCAATCTCACGACCCTGAGATCACAACCTGAGCTGAAACCAAGAGTCGGGCACCACCCAGGTGCCCCAATAATATGTATTTTTTAATAGATTTTATTTATTTATTTGACAGAGAGACACACAGTGAGAGAGGGGACACAAGCAGGGGGAGTGGGAGAGGGAGAAGCAGGCTTCCCGCTGAGCTGGGAGTTTGATGTGGGGCTTGATCCCAGGATCCTGGAATCATGACTTGAGCCGAAAGCAGACGCTTAACAACTAAGCCACCCAGGCACCCCAATATGTATTTTTAATAGATGCTGTTATCCCCATTTAACTTGTTATGAAACAGAGGCATAGAGAGGTTGAATCAGTTGGCTACACAGTGATTAAGTGAAAGAGCAAGGATTTAAATCCAGGTTGGCTGCCTCCCAAAACTGGATACTTAATGGGGACTCAGACAAACTACAAATACATGCATGGGAAGGATAAGAAGGAGCCATGAATGTACAGAGCTGGGCAAATGGCAGTTCAGAGGGAAACGCATGTGCAAAGGTCTTGAGGCTGGACAGAAGTCAGAAGAAACTGAAAGAAAGCCAGGGAGAATGGGGTGTGAAAAATGAGGGGAGAGCTCCTGAGGAAGCTGGTAGCAGCTAGACTATGGAAGGCCCTGCAGGCCTTGAACAGACTTGGATTTTATATTAAGAGGAGCATGAAGCAATAAAAGCAAAGTCAGAGCATGATATGATTGGAGGCTTTATAAGTTTGGTTTGCTGCTATACAGAGAACAGATGATGGGACTGGGAAGGGAAGCAGGGAGACCAGTTAGAAAGCTGTTATAAAAACAAAACAAAACAAAACAAAACAAAAGAAAAAAGAAAAGAAAAGGCTGTTGTGGTTTGTGCAGGAGAAAAACCACAATAGCTAAAATAAGGGTGAAAATGTGACTGTTTTGGAAACAAAGGTGACTGGGTTTGCTGATGGGATTAGATGTGTAGTAGGTGAACAGGGTGCCTGGCTGGTTCAGTCAGTACAGTATGCGACTCTTGATCTTGGGATTGTGAGTTCAAGCCCCATGTTGGGCATAGAGCGGCTGTCTAGATGTGTGGGTGAACGAACAGAAAGATCATATTTCTGGCTTGAGCAACGGGTTGATGAGGAAGATGGGATATTAGGGAGAACAACAGGTTTAGGCAGGAAAATCAAGAGTATGGTTTGGGGCAGGGGTTTGAAATACTTCTAAATTCTCTCTGGATGGAGATGTTAAGTAGGGGGCTGGATCTAAGGAGTGTGGAGTCAGAGGAGAGACTGGGCTGGAAAGGGCACTTAGAGGGCACAGCACCTTTACTGGACTCACAGTCAAGGAGATAGGTGCAGGGAGCGATCCAGGGAACCAGGAAAGCCCCAAAGAGCCTTCAAAGGCAACTGAAAAGCAGCAGCCACGGAGGGAGAAAGGAAAACTTGGTGTTGTGCCCAGACAAGGGGGCAGGGTATGTGGGGCAGCTGTGTAGAATGACACGAGGTACCAGACCAAGATTAGGACAGAAAAGGGGCTGCTGGATTTTCCTCCTTGGAGGTCATGAGTGACCTTGACTAGAGTGGTTCCTGATGAGAATGGGGAAAGTCTAGGAACCAGAGTAGTAAGAGCTGAAGGGGTGAATGCCAGGTAAAGAAGTTAGACAATTCTGCCACAAACAGGTATTGAAAAATTGGGAATATTTTAAGAGGGGTGTGGGATCAAGGTTTTTGGTTTTGTTCGTTTGTTTTTAAAGGATGTAAGAACAGTTCAGGGAGGCAGGCTAAGCCACTCTGAGGGCCCTTTCAAGACACCCCCCCACACCCCCCTCCGACCTTGACAGCTCTCTCCACGTGGATCCTGGCGTTTCTGAGCCGGCCCATGTGGTGAGATGGCTTGGAGAATCCTCGCCAGAGGACAAGGGAACCTGCAGAAAGATGCAGAGTAGGGATGGGGCAGGCTGAAGGCTCAGCCTAGCGTCTCTCCCGGCCTCCGATGCCCACGCTCCTTTCTCCACCCTTCATCCGGATGCCCACACTCTCTCGACCCCTCATTCCCTCCACCCCAAGTCTTCTCGTCCTTGCAACCACCTCCCGCCACGATAAGCGGGCTGCAACGGGCCTCACCGTCCGGCGACTGGGCATCATCCGGAGCCGGAGTGTGCGGGGACCCAAGGGGGTGGAGATCCGCTGCACTCTGGGTGTGGGTGCCTTGGGCCAGCGACTCGAAGGCATGGCCTAGGCGGCGCAAAGAGGGACTGCCGGCCCGGCCTTTGCCGCCAGCGCCAACCCCCTCGGGACAGGCGGAGGCGGGCCCGGGCCAAGGCAGTGTCGCGGGAGGCCGGGGCCATGGGGCGGGAGAACTGGTGCAGCCGCCCTCTTGGCAGTACCAGGCGGCGGAGCCCTGGTGCGCGACCCCCCGCTCCCCCGCGCTCAGGAGCAGCGCCGCGCCGGGGCCCTGCATGCGCCCCTCGCCACGCGCGCCCTCCCAGCGCGCGCGAGCCCGCCTCCCCTCTGCGCACCGCCTCCTCTCAGGGGAGCAGGGCCCTCGGTTCCGAGGCCCCGCCCCCTGTTTGCTGTCGCCCTGGAAACCATTCCCCTGGCACAATCACGCCTCGGGTACTGGGTTCGGGTGCTCCCTCCTGCGGGCTGAAATCCGGACCGCAGAGCACTGCGCTGCCTGTTAATTTCAGCGTCGTGGTTCCTGTGGCTTGAGTCATTCCACAGTATGGAGAGCAACCGTGCTAGGCAGTGGGCTAGGTGCTGGAGACTGGAAGAAGCTAGAGATGATCCCTGACCTTATGGATCTTACAGCCCATTGGAGGGGAAACATTAAAGCAAGCAACAAAGGAATAAAACAGCTGTAGGTATGGTAAGGGCAATGGGCAAGCAGCAAACTGAAACCAGGAAGGGGACATACGTTAGACAAGAAAAAGATGTCCTTTCTGAAGAGGTGACATTCAAGCTGAAGCCTATGCAAAGGAGGTCAGGAGTTGGCTAGGAAAGAGGGGTAGGAATAGCATCCCAGACAGGAAAGTCTCTGTAACACCCCTGAGAGGGGTAAGAATCTTTCCCTGGAACTAAAAGGTAGCCAGTGCGGCTGTAGCCTGGTGAGGTTGGACCAGATCTATAGGGAGTGGCGGATGGGCCTAGGGTAAGGTCCTTGGGGATTGATCTGAAAACCAGGGCAGTATACAGGGAAAACAATGAGAAAGTAGAGTGCAGCACAATCCCCCCACCCTCAATAACTTGGAAATAGAAAAACATATCATTTTGAGTCAACCACAGAAAAAAGAAGTTAGGTGCAGCCCTCAAGACTGTAAAAACTGTAAGTAACCTTTTTGGAGGTTACTACTTTTTGGAAGTAGTGGCAAAGTATGATCCTCCAAAGTCCTAAGTAATATAATTAAGGCTCCAAAAGGTTAATTTGCCTAAAATCACATAGTAGAGCCAGCACTGGAACGCAGGTCTGACCGCAAAATCCCACTCTTCAACATAAATATTATTTAACCTTAGTACACATTATCACTCAGATGGATTACCTATTAGTCATAGAAGTACTGAAGGAGCAATTTGAGGTGCATATTCCAGCAGTGCTCATTCAAGCAGAGTGCAGGTAAGAGAGTACTCTGGTCCAAAAACCCAGCTTTGTTAGCGGGTAGATCTGCCGGTACAGTGAAGGTGGGTCCTCAACCTCACCGTCCAATCTCCACCTGAGATCACTCTTCTCACCCCCCCTTGTTTGGAGCCTGGACTTCCCCAAAGGCATGCCTCCAGAAGAGGGCAGGCTGATTGGCAACCATCCAGTCTGTTCTTTCCCATCAGCCTGCAAATCTGGTTTTAGGGGCTCTGGATCCTGGGAGATGGATCTATGACATATGGCTAGCTCACCTAGGCAATGCTGTCCTTTGAGTGTTGAGCGAGCAGCTGCCATACTCTTGAACCTCCAGCTTTCCTGTGAGCACCTTTAACATTCACTGCAAAGCTGAAACATAGCTATGTGCCCCAGGGGGCACAACTAATTCTGTAAGGCAGGAGGAGGAGGTCACAGAGGTAATGTCATAAAGGTGATGATAGCTGTCCAAGTGGCCCCCACCCCTAACCCCTCCTCCCTTTAACATTACCTTGTCCTCCACCTCAAGATACTTTTTGGTTCTTTAAAAAAAAAAAAAAAAAAAGTTTCTCCTTTAAAAAAAAAAAATTAGGGCGCCTGGGTGGCTCAGTTGGTTGAGCGACTACCTTCAGCTCAGGTCATGATCCTGGAGTCCCGGGACTGAGTCCCGCATCGGGCTCCCTGCTCGGCAGGGAGTCTGCTTCTCCCTCTGACCCTCTTCTCTCTGGTGCTCTCTCTCATTCTCTCTCTCGCAAATAAATAAAATCTTAAAAAAAAAAAAAGTTTCTCCTTAAAAAAAAAAAAAGATACTTTTTGGTGACCCAGAAGAAACTTTTGAAAGCTCAGCTCAAAAGCTGAAAATTTTCCTGACACCCACTTCCATAAACACACCCCACCCACCCCGTAGAATACCACAGAATCAGTTTGTATATATGAAACACTTCAGTTGCACCTATTTACACACCCAGCATTCCCTACCCACCCCCAAGTCTCTCCAAGACAGGGATAAGTTCACTCCCCCGCCCCCCAAGCCTAACCCAATGAAAATTATCAGTTTGGATACTGGGCGGGTAGGAAGATCAGCTGTTGTTTATTCAGTACCTATACCACAGGTGCTGTGTCGGCCTATTTACATCATCTCCACTTTATAGATTAAGAAACTGAAGCACAGAATATAAGGAACTCACGCAAATTCAGCCTCAAGAGTCAGGACCTTAGCACAAGTGTTTGGTTTGTTCTTAAGGAGTCACCAAGTGCTGTCCAATAGAACTTTCTCCAATGATGGAAATGTTCTATGTATGTACTCTCCGACATGGCAGGAACTAGTCACTTGTAGTTATTGAGCACCTGAAATGTCTCTGGTGGGAATGAGGTAATGAATTTTAAGCTTTAATAATTTAAATAGCTGCATGTGGCTAGGGATGACAGAGGCAGAAGCCTTAGATTTGAAGTCTACCCTCTTCCTCACTAGCTGGGAGTTTTGGGGCAAGCTGCTACATCTCAAGGAACCGCAGTTTCTTTAGCTATATGGCATCATTATTTCTCTGAGGTTACCTTTTAGCCCAAATGAGCTCATTATGTGAAAAGGACCAAAGCTCTGTATAGGCAGAGAGCAGTTTCAGAAATGAATGGTGCTTGGACGGTAATGGGGGTCTCTGGGTTGGGGCCCTTGGTACAGGTAACATCAGAGACCAATCAGGAGACAACCTCTGATGGGGAACCCCAGGCCCAAGTACCAGCTACACGGTCTTGGGAAGAAAAAGCCCCACCACCCCGCTCCTTTCATATACACAGTGCACAGACCTCATGCAGCCCCAAAGGGGCAAGAAGAGACTTTAATCAGGGAAGGAGGCGGGATCCACCAGAATAAGAAAAGGTACAGCGAGCATGGGAGCAGAGGAGCCAGAGCAGGCGCAAGAGCCCCAGCTCAGAAAGCTCTGGAGGACTCACCCCTTCACCTCCAGCACAGGCACTGCACTGACAGACAAGGCAAAACAGCGGCCCCTCTCAGCTGGGAGGGCACAAAGTGGTCCCTGTGGCCAGAGGTGCCTAGCTTTCAGTGCCCAGCTCTGAGGCATGGCTGGTGGCCACCAGTTCAGCCCTTGTCCCCAACCAGCACTGGGTGGCTATCTTCAGGCAGAGCTCAGGAAGCCAGCAGAGAGTCCCAACAACTTCTACTGGGCCTAAGCTCAGGACTAAGAGGGCAAGGGAAAGGAAATGGAGTCTGAAACCTTCCTCCTTCCCTCCCTCTCTCCCCACCTGGGGCTCCTGGGGGGGGGGGAGGGGGGAGACACACAATAGTCGCCTTCTGGCTCCAGGCCCGCCCAGACCCACAGCGACCAATATGGTACAATCACTGGGACCAGTCACAGCCACTGGAGGTGGAGGTTGTTTTGTTAAAAAAAAAAAAAAAAAAAAAAGACAAAAAGGTTACAGTTTCCTACAAGCACAGAATTTAAGTTTCAAGACGTTAAAAAAAATCCGTCCCAGCCCAGGGGACTGAACATCAGAAGCCAGCCTGACCAGGCACGTGTGGCCTTGGGGCAGGTCCACCGCTGCTTTGTTGCCCAGCTAGCAAGCATACCACCCACCTCCCGCATCGAACGCCCACCCCGACCCAGCACCCCCCCCGCCGCCGCCGCTGCTGCTGTCGCCGCTGCCGCTCTGGGGAGTAACTCCAGGATGCCTTCGCAGAGACACGGGGGAGTCTGAGGGGGAAGACCTTGAGATCCAGCCAGACGGTTTAAAACTGTCAAAAGAACCAAGAGGCAGTGAATGGTAATTATTACTGTATCCTGGCAGGCCTGCTCTGGGGAGGTAGGCTGATCTGAGAGCTGCCACTATTCTCAGATTTCTGAGGGATAGGATGGGTCCCAGCACACCTTGTGGGCACCCTTTTTCTAATTCAGCCGGCGCTGAGCAGTGACCTTCAGAGCACTAGCCTTAAACCTAGCACTAGACAAGACAGAAAAATTAAGGGTGAAGTGAGCTTTTCCACAGCTCCCCTTAACCGTGTCATTGAGGCTGCTATAAAGCTCTATCACAGTGCCTTGCTTGAACTGAGGTTGCCTTCTTTAGAAATGGGGGCTCATGAGCAAGGGCTTGGAGACTAGGGGGCCAAGAGCAGAAGGACCGAGGATCTGGTAGTTTCTGTCAAGCTCTGGGTGGTTCTCCAACCATAACAGGCCCTGGAAATATTTCCTGCCCTCAAGTATCCCCCATGGTGCCCAGAATAGCACCAGACAGTTTACAGATCAGAGATTGTGGACCAATGGCCCACAAACTGAACCCAACCTAATGAGTGCTGGCTGGCCCACAAAGTATTTAAAAAAATACAAATTCATTGCCAACCTTGAAAATATAACAGATGTCGGAAACAAATCCAGATTTGGGGATTCTTTTTGAATAGCTGGAAGATGAAATTGTTAATGGGCGGGAGCTCTGTGGTAGTGATCCTCTTCAGATGATACATGTGCTTACCGGGTCCCCAACAGCCCACTTCACTCACATGCATTATCTCCCTGAGCCCTGCGTGCACCTGAGTATGTGACCCCTGCCAAATGCTATGGTACTATCTTGATCTTTGATCTGAAGTTCTAAGTCCCAGTTCCTCCTCTTACTGGCTGAGGGCCCTGAGTAGGTGACTTGGACTTCCAGAGCCCAGTTCACTCACCCATAAAATAGGGATAACACATGACTCAAAGATTGTTTCAGGGATTAAATGAGATATATAAGTGTGCTTCGCTGTGTAATTATACAAATGCAGTTACCACCTGAAACTAAGAGAGCACTATATGTTGGCTAATTGAATTTAAATTTAAAAAGGAAAGAAATGCAGTAACCATAATTAAATGACTGGTGAATGAGCCAAATATTAAATCAGGACAAGAACCATTTTCCTTTGCAGTTGAATATAGAGGCCTCCTAGTGCCCTGGCCATAAAACTCTGGTGCTACAATACCTAGAAAGCTTACTATGTACCAGGTGATCTGCTCTGTGTACATCTCCTCATTTAATACTCAACCATACTAAAAGATACTATTAATAGTCTTGTTTCACAGCTGAGGAAACTAAGGCTTCGAGAGATTCAGTAACATGCCCAAGTAGGCAGTGAAGCTGGACGCACACACAGGTGGTATGACCCCACAGCCTGTGTGATCTGAACAAGCACACTACCCTGCATGCACAATAAAACTACTTTGTACACTGACTGCCCTCAGTAAAATTAAAGCCCAGGGGAAGAAGGCGTAATTTCCACTTTTAGGAATCTGAGCTCCTTCTGGGCTGGATATGTATGCACTGGTAGGAGTAAACACTAAATCTACCATCTAGGGATTATGGTTAACTCTAAGCAGAACATGTCAACAAACCAAAGATTGTTTGGAAGAAGAAGAAGAAAAAAAAGAAGGCATGTCCTAATATCTAAATAAAAACAACTGTGTCATCAGCTCATCAGTGTAAACAATTCCTCCTCTTCAGAGGACTGCAGTTGGGAACACAAACAACCAAAGAGGGATCTGGAGGACTGAAGCCATGAAAGTAATGGAAAACAAGTCGAAAATATCATGACTTTAAGTCTGAGAAACAGATGTTGAAAACATTCACATCTGGGGTGCCTGGGTGGGTGAGTCGTTAAGCGTCTGCCTTCGGCTCAGGTCATGATCCCAGGGTCCTGGGATCGAGTCCCACATCGGGCTCCCTGCTCACCAGGAAGCCTGCTTCTCCCTCTCCCACTCCTCCCCCTGCTTGTGTTCCTGCTCTCGCTATCTCTCTCTGTCAAATAAATAAAATCTTTAAAAAAACAAAACAAAAACATTCAAATCTGTTTGAGAAGTAGAATTACACTGATTAACTGTCCTATATTCTTAGAAAATTCCAATGTAGATTTAACTTGCCTCACCTGGGGTTTGAGCTAGATACAGGGAAGGACTGTGTACATTTTGAGATGTAGAAAGGAGCATCTAAGTCCCCATGAGAGACTAAGGGAGGTGTCTTCAAGGCACTCAAATACAGAAAATGCCCTGCAGGTCCCAAAGATGACCCCCAGGTCCTCCAGCCCCATGGCACCTGGCTGACGTGCCACCCACCAGAAGGTCCTATAGGCCTCAGCAAATATTCACACTGCTGGCACCACTTTACCACCAGATGCTAAGTTCTCAACCCACGGCTCCTCCTACTTCTCCTCTCGAAGGACACCAAGAAGGCCCCCCACTTACATTCTTGAGGAACTCCTCAGCTACGATGCGTGCTCGAGCGTTGACTGACAACTTCATCTCACTGATCTCCTTGTCAATCTCCTCCATGAAGTGGATCACGAAGTCCACCAACTTGTGTTTGTACATCTGCTCTGTGTGGAAGTTGGTGATCAGAAAACTGATGTCATATCCCTGGGTAAGGAAGACAGTAGAGAGGAGAAAGAGAAGAAACAGGAGAGAATTAGCATCCCAGGGCACTTAGTTGGCTATGTCCTCTAGGGTCACTGAGCTACATGCTTCCTACTGGCCATGATCTTCTCCCAAGTCTCATGACCTTCAGGCAGCAGCCTGCCTGCTCTGCTGGGGTGTCTATGCTGGGTCCAAGTAACTAACCCAGGTGAGAATTTTGTGTCGGTCAGGCATCTCTGGAAAACTACCTGTGATAAAACAGTTGCATTCAGTCATGGGAGAGTGAAGAACTTGAAATCTTGTTACAGTAGAATCTAATGAAACCGGAAGAAGAGATGCTGTGGGGAAGGATGGGACTGGGTTGTGTGTGGAAGAGTAATCATTTGTTCTGGGTGGCCCCAGAGGCTAGATCTAGGACCGGGAAGAATGATTTTAGCTCAGGATGAGGATGAACTTGGCCAACACATCTGATAGTGCATGCTGCTCTGCAGAGTAGTTGCTCAGTCACCGGGACTATTTTAAGTTGATTCGGAAGGGAGTCTTTGGAGAGGACTCAAGTACAAAGTCAGACAACAACTGAGCCAATGTCAACTGTGACTTGAGAGAATGATTTAGTTGGTGACAACGCTTACAAAGGATTTCTGATTCATTGTGCCCTTTCTGCCGCTAAACTGTAGGCTCTGGGAAGATAAACAACATGTATTTTTTTCCTTTACCCTGGTTGAGGCAGACCCAATTTTTCCTAATTCTGATACCCCTTATTCTCACTCCAGCTGAAATGAAGGCCAACTCTCAATTCAGACAGTGGGTGTCCAACAGCTGGAGAAGCAGCAATCCTGGTTCTACAAACAATCCCAGGCCAATGACAGTAGACTCGGTGGGAGAATCTTGGGTATTATGAACATGTGGATCACATGGTCTCACCTCCACTGGTTTCCTTCGAAGGATAAAAAAGTTCTCTGCTCGCATCATCATGAAGCGCATGAACTTGTGGCATAAAATCTTCTCGATCTCATCAGCCTAGTAAAAGATAAACAGGGCTCCCTAAATCTGACATTACAGGCCAACAGAAACCTATAGCCTGGTCTTCTGAGCTCAATTTCCCCCAGACTTGCCGCAGGTAGTGGGGTTTCACATGGGGAGCAATCACTGCATGAATCATGGGGCATATGATTGCCAACTGAATGTCTACTACATTAGAGCCTCTTCAAATCAACAGGGCATTATCATGATCTCATTTTTGCCCATTCCAGAGAGGTAATTCTGGCAAACCCAAGCCTTTTATCCGCTCCTTTGAGTCCATATCTACATTCAAAGCTGCCTCTCCCTTTCCCATTTCACTAGTACTGTGTTTCCCAAAGCCTATGATATATACACCATCTGGAGTTATCAGAGATAAACTTAGGTGGTCTCCACTTTAACAACAATGAACACTAAATAATCCCCAAAGTTTTTCCCTGCTGAATTCTCATTATTTCTAGTGAAAGAATTTTGCAGCTAAGTGCTGGTATGTATGCCCTTACCACCTCCCAACACTTGCTAATCTCCCTTTTTAACAGAGCAGGGCCCAAGGATAGAGCTTTCTGTAGGCAACAGGGCCTAGTCCAAATAACAGCTTTGTTTTCTTTCACTGCAGTTACTTTTTTAGAGTTCTCCCTATCTGACAAGTGATACTTTTTTCCACTATCACATACGGTTTTTCAAACAAATTTAAGTAAAAGAAAGTAAGTCAATTTAAGGAAATCCAGTAAACAACTGTCTGGGTGGTACACAAATATGGCAAAAATTATAAGAGTGGTGGGAATATTGGGGTGCCTGGGTGGCTCAGTTGTTAAGTGTCTGCCTTCGGCTCAGGTCATGATCCCAGGGTTCTGGGATCGAGCCCCGCATTGGGCTCCCTGCTCCGCAGGAAACCTGCTTCTCCCTCTCCCACTCTCCCTGCTTGTGTCCCCTCTCTCGTTGTGTCTCTCTGTCAAATAAATAAATAATATCTTGAAAAAAAAAAGTGGTGGGAATATCAACATCACCTAAAATAACGTAAGAAATTACACTTTGTTTTTTACCCTAAATCTCTTTTTCAAAGTTTATGGTTATCAAATTGGTACTGGTACTATTTATTTTTCTGAACTGGACTTATATCACTTATAAATGATTCTTTGACCTGACACCAAAATGGCCATGGCCTTGGCTGCTACTTTTCCTGACTTCTAATCTAGAGCAAGGGCTAGAAGACAGTCTACTCTACTGACCTGCTGAATCTGGCAAATCATTCCCTGGGTACAGTCAAGGAAATAGAGCCTGGGTTTCCTTGCACCTTGAATCTGGCATGACGATCTCTCAGATGGGGATCCCTAGCCTCCTGAGGAGGCAGGGGCTCAGTGGTGAGCTCACCTGTTTCACAGCAATGCTGACCCGGACAGAGTTGATGGAGCCCTCAATCAGAACCTTTTCCTTCTCATTCCTGCTGATGGTCACAGGTTGTAACAGGAGCTCTTTGCTACTCCTGAAAACACAATGTCAGAGAGGCCTCTGTACTACAGAAGAACAGAATGCTCAAGGAGACCCCACAGCAGGCCCTGGAATCTCTATCTGAGACCACAGAGTCCAAGGAATAGGAGACTCACAAGTAGGGGTGCTCCAAGATGGGGGCCAGCGAGTGTGTTCTCCAACAGAAGGAGCAAGGCTCTGGAGTCAGGGTGATAAGGGTTTGAAATCCAGCCTCCTCTGTTACTTTCCTTGGACAAGTTACCCTGCTGGAATCTCAATTTCCTCATCTGTAAAATGACTGATTCCTATTTCACTGGCAAGGATTGAGAGAGATCAAAAAGGGTCAATTGTCTAATAGAGTGCCTGGCACATGGTAGAGCTTTACAAATGACAGCTCTTATTTTAATAACTACAGGCAAACCCATACACCACGTAGGGAACGAGGAGAGAGGCTGCCTTAAGGATAAGGACAAGCTAAAATCAAACAGAGTTTGGCCTCCTTTAATTATCAATCCAGAATGATTCACTTATTCAGCATTAAGACCCCTCTCAGCTCAGCTCCCATTTTGATGCCTCTGAATCTCTAGGCATTTGTGATGTTAATTAAAATGCCCAGTGGAAATCACATATGTTAAGTAGAGCAACATGAAACATGCTAACATCTTGTCAGTATTTTAAAATTCAAATCATTCCACCATGGTGTGGTAACACTGTTTACCTCAGTTATACATGTCTCAGATTAAACTTAAAAGGAGCACAGCATTAATTTAACAAAACATAAACTAGATAAGAGAAAATAACCCAGAATATGGAAAATTTGGAGTAAGGAATGAGAGAGTCCAGGTTGGCAGGGGGGAAAAACATTCTTTGATCTTTAAATTACAAAACGACGGAGATGGCATCTAACAAAATTCTCCACTCTCTCCTTAAACTGGGTTCAATAATGACACAGGAGATACTTAACAAACACCCCACTCCGAGAAGTCACACTTTGTGTCAAGTAATCTTGGCTCCAGAGGAGCTGCTCCCCTGTGCTTTGTCCTGCCAACCCACTGACCCTATTTTCTGAATTGCAAATTGGGAACCATTGCTCATTGGGCAACAAGACAAAATATATGAACTGTAAGTTGTCTTGAGAACTCCAGGATGGAAATTTGTGGCAGCCTCCAGACAACTGCCATCTCTGAGGCTGAACCCATCATCCCCACCCTGACCTTTCTCTTCCCTACCTGACTTCTACTTCCGGCTTGTTGTGTCGTTCCACAACCTGGGAGGAGAAATTCTCCAGGCAGAGGGCAGCCTGCAGTGTGGCCCGCACGGCACTCAGGTAGGGGCGGAGAGTGGCAGTCTATAGGAAAAAAAACCCAAGGGAGAGTCAGAATCTGTCTTAGCAAACCCACTGGCCCCCTACTCCAGCTACATGGGAGCCAGGCAGTACTGAGAGTACCTGGCTCTCAGATACCACAGTGAACAAAACAGACTAGGCCTTCAAGGTGCCTTTCATTCTAAGTCTAGAACAGTGGTTCTCAACAGGGGACCATTTTTCTTGCCAGGGGACATTCTGCAATGTAGGGACATTTTTGACAGGACTTGGGGTGGGGTGGAAGTGCTACTGGCATCAAGTAGAGGCCTGGCATACTGCTAAACATCCTAAAATGCACAAAAAAGAATTATTCGGGGTGTCTGGGTGGCTCAGTCAGTTAAGTGTCTGACTCTTGGTTTTGGATTGGGTCATGATCTCAAGAGTTGTGGGATCTAGCCCCAAATTGGGCTGCATGCTCAGTGCGGAGTCTGCTTGATTCTTTCCCTCTTCCTCTGCCCCTCCCCCTATTTGCACGTGCTCTCTCTGTAAAATAAATCCAAAAAAAAAAAAAAAAAGAATTATTCAACCCCAAATAGTGCTGAGGTTGAAAAATTCTGGTCTAAAGGCATACAGGTGACAATGACTGTTTTCAAATCTGTCTTTTGAGCCAAGAATGGATAAGTCTACTGTGTATTAGGCACTGATCTAAATGCTAAGATCTTATTTATTTTTTTTTAAGATTTTATTTATTTATTTATTTGACAGAGATAGAGAGCACAAGTAGGCAGAGAGGCAGGCAGAGGGAGAGGGAGAAGCAGGCTCTCCGCTGAGCAAGGAGCCCGATGTGGGGCTCGAGCCCAGGACCCTGGGATCATGACCTGAGCTGAAGGCAGCCGTTTAACTGAATGAGCCACCCAGGTGCCCCTAAATGCTGAGATTTTAAAGACCATCTCTACCTTTAAATAGCTCAACTAGGTAGAAAAGACAAAAAATAACTATGACATAAAGGAGAATGAAATGGAACAGAATTTGATTTCCAGAAGAGACCGGTTTGGACATAAAGATGAAAATAGGATTAGGAGGATTTTATAATAAAAAGTAAACTAAGGACATTCCCAGTAGAGGGATCAGCTTCTACCTACACTGGCGTATCTTCAGTTCCTTGTATTAACTAAGTTCTTTCTCACCTCAGGGCTTTACACATGCTGATCCATCTATCTACAGGGTTTTCTTCCCTCTCTTGACCCAAGTCATCCCTCAGACCTTGGCTTATTCAGGGAAGGCCCCTTCCTTCCTCAAGCCATTCTTGACTTCCCTCTTCATAGCATTTATTATAATTTACATGACACATCCTTCATATTTCTTTAGTAAAGTGAATTCTTCACTAGACTGTAAGCTTTGTGGTCAATAGACCATGTCTTTTATTCAAATCTACATACCCTACCCCTAGCTCAATACCTAACATATGCAATGTCTTACTCCTTTTCTATAAAATACCATGTAGAATACCACAAGCAAGGTTAGAACACAAAAAAGACATTAAGAATTCCATAAGTAGTGATGAGTAAAGTGCTGCTGTATACAGAAAGCACTTTAGATTCAGTAGATGAGGCTGCAATGGTGGCCTAAAGATTCATGGGTAATCTCAAATGCCAAGCTGTTAATTTTAGCTTTTCTTCTAAGGCAGTAAGGAACTGTTGGGACTTTCTGAGGAGGAAGTTATATGACTTCACCAGTTGCACGGTGGCTCTGTAGAGAATGGACTGGAGGGAAGTGAGACAAAAGGCAGAGAGGGTTATTCAAGGAACGCTGATGAGAGCCTGAGGCAGTGGAAAGGACAAGCAGAGGGTATCACAAGAATTGGACTGTCATAAGATGGAGAGAATAATGGAATCAAAAAACACCTCCCAACAAACTGTGGTTCACCCATAACGATGAAATACTATTCAGGAATAAAAAGGAATAACTAGTGATACATGCAGCACAGATGAATCTCAAATGCATTATGAAACCACATTGGGACGACTGGCTAGTGCAGTCTGAAGAGCCTGCGACCCTTGATCTCAGGGTCGTGGGTTTGAGCCCCATGATGGGTGTAGAAAATACAAAAATAAATAAATAAACTTAATTTTTTAAAAAGCCACAACAAAAGGCCTACATCCTGAAGAATTCCATTTATATGACAATATCAAAAAGGCAAAACTATAGGAGAAAAAAAATCAGTGGTTGCCTGGAATGGGGAGAAGACAGGACTGATAGCAGAGGGACTTGAGGGAAATTTTTGAGGAAACATTGTTACCTTGGTTGTAGTAGTGGTTACATTATTGTATTTGTCAAAATCCATAGATGACAAACTTAAAAAAAAGGGTGATTTTTAGATGACAAGCCCCATGACACCTGCCCTTTCACAGATAAAATGCATTCTCATGTAATACCTCAATAAAGTTGACTTTTAAAAAATCCAAGTGGGATAGCCTCAATTAGAAAAATAGAAAATCCAGGCTTCTAGCAGAGGTACGAAGACACAAAGCCAGGATAAGCAACATAAAAAGAAAAGCAAGTTTAGAAGAGAAAATGATTTTTGATCTGAAGGCCTAATCTGAAGGTCTCTTCAAGATATCCAGGCAAACCTTAAAAGAGAACTAGAAAGACAGATTCAAGAGCCACCAAAACACACAAGCTCATCAAAGCCGGGACTAGACAGGTACCACTAGGAAAAATGTAAAGAGGAAGGTGGTGAGCCCAAGCCTCAACTCCCGGGAACACCCACATTTATCTAATGGGAGGATTTCCAGGAAAGGAGGGATCAGTAGTATCAGAGCTCACGTACTAGGGTTAAGGTTAACGCGGTTTAATTCTTACCAGGAAGAGGTCTGGGTGGTGGGAGCATAAAAGAGATACTTCTGTGGCGTAGAAGCAAGGCAGGGAGTAAAGAGAAGAGTGGGATAAGAAGTGTAGACGATTCCTCTGGAAAACGGGTCAAGCGGGCAGGAGAGGACAAGACAAGTGTACTTAGGGAAGTTCTCCCCTGGGTGAGGAGACCTTACTATGTGCCTCTGCGACCCTACTACGGGCAATGAGGCCTACTAAGTGCCTTCAAGGCGCTAACACCAGGCGAGGAGGTCCCACTTCCAGCGTCCCCTATGCCTCATAATTCCCCACCTGGATCGAAAGCCAAACCATGAAGCTTGCAAGGCCTGCTTCTTAAGAGGGCGTACCCCGCTCGCCCCTTCCTCACTTCGCCTCCCGCCCCGCCCTCTCTCCCAGCCACCTCGTGCCCCCACACCCAGCAGCATCCCTCAGCCCCGGGCCTCTCCGCTGTAAAGCCGCATCTCCCCCAGACCCACAGCTCTGAGGCAAAACAGGGGGTCCCTGGACCGGGGCCCGGCTCTCTCACCATCGCGGGCGCTGGCTGGGCCGGAAAGCGGAAGTGCGGAAGTGGCCAGCCCCTCGACGCCTGCCCTTTCGCGAGAAGCGCAGCCTCAGTCTCCGCCCGGACTTCCGGACAGTACCATCTATGATCCGAGCGTAGAAGGGGGTGCTTAGGAACACTTGGTCCTTTGGAAGTTTCCCCGCTAGGGCTGTCTTGACATTTTTAGACTCCTGAAGTCTCAAGTCGATACTCAAGCTTAACCCGTTATCGATGCAGCTCTCGCCTGTGACTTTGGCCTTCTTGTCTTTGCCACTGTCTTTCCCCATAGTCAGGCAATGGTGCAGCCCGGCCTCAGGTTGGGCACCATATTAGGACAAGGCGAGGCGGAGGAGCCCTTCGTTCCTTCCGGTTATGCGCTGCTATCCTTTTTCTGAGCCCCTCCTACTTGCAGCCCCTGGGGCTCGGCGGGACTAACCGCCCGGCTGAGAACTCGGCTATCGAGCCCCGCCCCCAGCCTCGGGCTGTTCCCCAGAGTAGGCCTGAGGCGTACCCTTCCCCCCCGCCCACCTGCAGTGGGTTCGCTCGCGGCCTGTAAACCCTTCCCTGCAAGCCATATTGGGCTCTCCCTCGCGTCTCCCACCCCCGCGTCCTCTACGGGGGGCCCGCCCCTAGCCAGTTCCGGGGCGGTTGCTCCCACCAACCGGAACTCCCCGCCCCCTCCCGTGGCCTGGGGGCCGTAGGAGGCAGCAGGAGGCTGCAGTGAGGAGGTAGAGGGGGCGGGGGCCGCGTTAGGGGGTCCCTAGAGGACGGGGACCCTGAAGGCAAGTCACTGGGGCGACCCACGGGAGGGGCCAGCCATTACACAGGCGCACTTCTGTGCCAGGTACTGAACTGGGCTCTTGACGAGCATCCTCTCTTAATCCTCAGAACATCCCGGGGAGGTAGGTACTGTTGTGATCCCCATTTTACAGATTCAGACTTCTTATGGGGAAACAGACTCAGATTTCTTTTGTCCCCATTTTGTAGATGGAAAAACCGAGACTCAGGAAGGTTAAATAGTATGTTCAGAGCTACATAAATAGAGAATGGTAAAGGCTGGGCTTGAACCCAGGTATGTCTGGCTTACCAGCCCACATTCTTAACCACTGTCAGGGGCAAAGAGAAGGGACAAAGATGGGAGGGAGTGAGACAAGTTGAAGCTGGGAGGCACAGAGAACATTAACATTGTAAGAATGGGATGTTTGGAGCTCAGGGGCTTTGCAGAACTCAAGGAGGAGTAGAACGGAAAAGCATCAGGAAGATAGGACTTGGTATATCACGGAAATTAGTGGCACAGACTCACAACTACATCTTGGTAACCTTGGGCATGTACCTACCCTTACAGAGTCTGAGTTTCCTTAACTGTAAAATGTAGATCACCATTGTCCCTTCTCATGGGGTTGGGTGAGGAATTCAGTGAGAAGCCAGTAAAATGTCTGTACCTAGCTTGATGTACAGTAAGTGCTCTGTGGGTAGGAGCAGTGCCATCAACCTTGTCAATAAGGTAACTGAAGCCGGGCTTTCTCCTTGAGTCTGTCCCTGGATGAAGGGAGCTCTTGGACTTTTCTTGTGCCAGTTTATCTCCTATCAATGGCTCTCTCCTCTCCAGTTCCACAGGGTCCCGTATCCTGGGCCATGAGTGAACTCAAGGACTGCCCCTTGCAGTTCCATGACTTCAAGTCTGTGGACCACCTGAAGGTCTGTCCACGCTACACAGCCGTGCTAGCCCGCTCTGAGGATGATGGTATCGGCATCGAGGAGCTGGACACTCTGCAGCTGGAGCTTGAGACCCTGCTTTCCTCTGCCAGCCGGCGCCTGCGGGTTCTCGAGGCTGAAACCCAGGTGATACCCTACAGAGAGGATATCACCAGGGGTGGACTGTGACGAGTTATGGGATGGGTCATTGAGTTAGCCCCACCTGCAGAGGCTTGGGGTACAGGAGTTTAGAGGGTTAAAGGAGAGACCCAAGCTGGGCTCATGTGACACATAAAATATACAAGAATGTGCATGATCCTTACAAATTGCAAGATTTCCAATTTACTAAGCATTTATTGACCCCAACCCCCATTATGTTCTGGGTCCTGTGCTAGTCGTTAGAAAGAGGTAATTAGGACACTTCTGGCCTTCAGGGAGTTTGCCACATAAAAGGAGGGAGAGGTCAGACAAATACCAGGTGATGTTGTGTTATGGTTAGAAGTACCAGGGGAACTGGATTGAGAAGAACTGGATTTGAATCCTGGCCTAAGCACTTGCTTAGTGTTGCTGTTTCCTAGCTATATGACTTTGGGAAAGTTGCCTCCTTTTGCATCAGTTCCCTATCTGCAAACTGGGATACCCTTCAGCTTTTGTGAGGATTAAAAGAGAGGGTTTTTTTTGCAAAGCCTCGGGCTGATATCTAACATTAAGTATTTCAGATTTTAATTATTGGTAGTCTTCACTATGTAAACATCCCCTGAGCCCTGTGTGTCAGATGCTATGCCAAATCCTGGGGAACAGACATAGTTAAGATCAATTTCCTGATCTCCAGCTTATAATCTAGTTGAAAAGACAAGATATGCTGTTCGTTCCAGTATGATCAAACAACACATTTAGGCCTGCAGTGGAGGTACAAAGTGTCAGAGACCCAGGGAGGACCAAGCTGCCATTTTAATTGGACCTCAAAGGATGAATAGTTAACTTGTGCTCCCTGGGAATGCACTGAAGCTTTTTGAGCAGGGCTGTGGCAAATTCAGTTGTGTTTTAGCATGTAAGAAGCTGGGTAACTGATGTGGAGAAGGCTTCCCAGTTGTGGTGACATTTGAAGCAAAGGTCTGCTGGGAGACTTGTTTGCATTCACCAAAAAGTTACCAGCAGCATATTCCAGTGCTCATATGCACTGGGGCATGATCATTTGTTTGACCTAAACACTGTGTGATTGGCTTGAGTGATACAGAGGTGAATCAGTACAGACAAATGGAATGATGAGGACTATATGAATAAAGTCCTGTGAGATAGGCACAATAAAGGAACTGAGTTTTGAAAGATGAGTAGGAGTTTACTAAATAAAAAGGAGATGGATCAATAAGACTTTGGAGCCTTCTCAAGTTCTAGCTCCTAATTCTTCACTAGGAGAAAAACTTGTCCTATGACTTCTCTTCTCCCCCTCAGTGATAGTCTCTGCAAATTTCAGATCCTCACTGACTGGCAGGATAAGAAAGGTGATCGACGATTCCTGAAGCTGGGTCGAGACCATGAGCTTGGAGCTCCCCCAAAACATGGAAAGCCGAAGAAGCAGAAACTGGAAGGGAAGGCGGGACATGGGCCAGGCCCTGGCCCTGGCCGGCCCAAATCCAAAAACCTTCAGCCCAAGATCCAGGAATATGAATTCACTGATGACCCAATTGATGTGCCACGGATCCCCAAGAATGATGCCCCCAACAGGTTCTGGGCCAGAAAATATAGAGGGGCCTTGGGATTCAGGCAGTAGAGGCTGTGGAGGGGCCTGGAGCTGAGGATGGTGGGGCAGGAGGTGCCCATTCAGGATCTGCTTCTCCTTGCAGGTTCTGGGCTTCTGTAGAGCCCTACTGTGCTGATATCACCAGTGAGGAGGTACGCACACTAGAGGAACTACTGAAACCCCCAGAGGACGAGGCTGAACATTACAAGGTAGAAACCCTGGGCCTTGGTAGACAGGGTGGTGAACAGGAGATCTCAGAGGTGCCTCCAAATCAAAGATCCCAAAGTCATATATCATCTTCCTTCCCTTACTCTGCCCTGCTCTGCCCCTAGTCTAGTCAACCCACCCAGACACCCAGGCTCTGATTCTCAGCTCTCTTGCATTGCCTCCTCTCTGCCCCATCCAAATGATTACATACATCCTGAGGCATCTACTTCAGTGACACCGTCCTTTGTCCCAACATCTCTGTCACCTCTGCTTTGATTCAAGCCTTCATTAGCTTTCACCCAAATGGTCTCTTGATATTTTTTTGCCTCCAGACAGACTTTTTGTTTTCTTTTTTTTTAATATATTAAAGTTTTCTTACGACGTAAATAAAACTGGTTCCATTAAAGAAAACGTAGAAAATACAGAAAAGTGTCCGGGAGTACTCTCCTATAGGTCAGCTGTTGTGATCGGATGTGACACAGGCCTGCTCCCAGGCCTCCCCTGACTCCCGCACAAGATGGAGTCCAGACATCTCGGTCCTTGGTGACACAGCCCTACTGCCCCTCTCCAGTTTCCTCAGCCATGCCCCCTCGTCACTGCTGCATTTACCAGCCCTGCCAGGCACCTTGCCCTCACCCCAGGCCCACTCAGGCTCTTTGCTGGTCTCTGAGCCTCTGCACATGCTCTTTTTCCCTTAGCAAACTGATTTGTCCTTCAAATCACTGATCCCTTGTTATCTCCACCAGAACACCTTTGCAGACTCCCCGCAGAAATTTTCTTTTTCGTGTGCCACAATACCTTGACCTACCTCCAGCACTTCAGTTCTTTGAATTTTTAAAAAAATTATTTGAAAAATTATTTGAAAAGTTAATCCATATAAGCAGTAGTAAATTGAGGTAATACAAATGAGAATTTCCTCTCCTGACACTAAGGTTCTTAGGTCTCTCTAGGGACAACAGCTATGACCTGAGATGATCCAGGTACATACACCATTCTGCACCTAGATCTTGGAAATTGTTCCATACTGGCTCCCATGTGTGTCTTAGTTGGTTATGTACCTGTCTCCCTTACTAGACTGTGAGCATAGAGATTTTTATCTCCTTTGTTTCTTCCCACCTATGCAAGGCATGGGCCTTAGCCCTGGGGTAGGTCCTTGGGAGACAGATAAGTGAAGGAATGAATGATGAGCCTATTGGCAGTGTCCCAAGTGCACAGAGAGCCCCCACTCACCCCGGGCATGGCTTGCCGGTGTTTACCCCTTTTGGGCCGGGTGGCATCTCCCCACAGATCCCACCCCTGGGGAAGCACTACTCCCAACGGTGGGCACAGGAGGACCTGCTGGAGGAACAGAAGGATGGGGCCCGAGCAGCAGCTGTGGCTGACAAGAAGAAAGGTCTCATGGGGCCACTGACCGAACTGGACACTAAAGGTAGGCCCTTCGCCTCCCTGCCCACCCAGGCCAGGACTTGAGTTCCCAGATCTCAGCCCATCTGTCTACCATTTCTCTGCCCACTTTAGATGTGGATGCCCTGCTGAAGAAGTCTGAGGCCCAGCATGAGCAGCCGGAAGATGGGTGCCCCTTTGGTGCTCTG